CTCCAACAAACTACAGAGAAGGTCCGGGAGGTACAAGAGAAGCTGAGAGCCGCTATGAGTAAACAAAAATCATATGCAGACCAGAGGAGGAGACCTTTGGAATTTGAGGGGGGAGACCATGTATTTTTGAGAATCAGACCTACTACTGGAGTAGGAAGGGCAATTAAATCTAAGAAGTTGACTCCCAAGTTTATTGGCCCATATCAGATTTTGAAGAAGGTAGGTCCAGTGGCATATCAGTTAGCGTTGCCACCTCATTTGGTGAATCTGCACAATGTATTTCATGTATCTCAGTTGAGGAAATATGTACATGACCCCAGTCATGTCCTGGAGTCAGACAATGTGCAGATTAGAGACAATCTCTCCGTTGATGTGAGACCAGTGAGGATAGAGGATTCTCAGTTGAAGCAACTTAGAGGTAGAACTATCTCAATGGTGAAGGTAGTATGGGATCAGAAATCCGGAGACTTCACTTGGGAGATGGAGGATCAGATGCGAGAGTCTTATCCATATCTATTTCCAAGTAAGTTCATTTTCGAGGACGAAAATTTTTGTGGAGGGGAGATTGTGACGTATGCCTTATATTATATTAATATTACTGTGCAAGAAAACTTCGTAACGAAGTTTTCCTCATGCACAGTAAATTTTTTTTCTTATATATGAATACTGAAGCGGGGGAGGAGAGGAATCAAAATTTTCATCTCATCCTTCTTCTTCTATTGTCTAAATTTCAAGCAACGAGACTCTACTCGTGCAGGATCTGGTGAAACGGGAGAGAACCTGAATTAAGTGGGAAAGCTTCGGTAGAAATACCATACCAAGTAAGGGGAAGTTTAATTCATTCAATATATGAAATTGAATTGTTGGGTACTCTGTGAATAAGGAATAGGAGTAGAGATATGGATTATTGGAATGTTTGTTTTTGAAGAATGTCTGAATTTCTGATTTTGATTAACTGTTCACCGTTTGAGAGTTTTTTTGAAATTCTTGAAGTTAAGGATGAATTATATAATAAAATTGTTGTTTGTAACTTAAATTGAACATGTTTATGGTTTAATTTTGATTTGGAACTAATTTGGGTGATTGAAACTGAGAAATTTGAAACTTGGATTTCGAAAATGCGAACTGGAAAACCTGCAAAATTCGCTCAAGCGAAAAATACATCGCTTGAGCGAAGTCACCTGGAAAATTTGAGACTCTCGGGATCCATCTCGCTCAAGCGACTAGTGTACTCGCTTGAGCGACGGATGCTTCAAACAAAGGGAACTCCCGGATCAAGTCTCGCTCAAGCGACTAGTGTACTCGCTTGAGCGACGGATGTTTCAAACAAAGGGGACTTCCGGGTCATTTCTCGCTCAAGCGACTAGTGTACTCGCTTGAGCGACGGATGCTTCAAACAAAGGGAACTCCCGGATCAAGTCTCGCTCAAGCGACTAGTGTACTCGCTTGAGCGACGGATGCTTCAAACAAAGGGGACTCCCGGGTCATTTCTCGCTCAAGCGACTGGTGTACTCGCTTGAGCGACGGATGCTCAAACACAACTGGGACTCCTGGGTCATGTCTCGCTCAAGCGACTGGTGTACTCGCTTGAGCGACAAAGCCCTCAAACAAAGGGGACTCTCGGGTTCCATCTCGCTCAAGCGACCGGTATACTCGCTTGAGCGAGAGATGGAAGAAGAAAGGAATATGGTGGGGATTTTTTTTAAAAGATCAAGGGCAAAATAGTAATTTATTGATTTCGGAAATTATTTTAGAAAAATATATATATAAAGAGAAAGAGAAAATGAAAGTAGTGTGTTGTGACGTGTGTGGGTCAGACTGAGCCTGAGGGCTGATGCCCATAATCAGTCCTGAGACGTTATATATTGGCTAGACTGAGCCGGAGGGTTGGTGCCAGAATCAGTCAAATACTATTTTTATTGACTCGAATGAGCCGTGAGGACATGTGGTCCAGAATCCGGCAAATGTGAATAATTTTTGTTATGTTTGAATGGTACCCGGGGTGGTACAGAGTACATTAGTGTAATAACTATGTCAGAGGATTCTGAATGAGGTCCCAGACTTCACTGATTGGTCGGGTCAGGTAGACTACGAGATCAAGTGGTGAGAAGTCGATGGGGGGATGACTGGTGGCACGCTCGGAGGGGTACTCCAGTATGAGTGATGAAGGGCGCCAGTAATCCTACTCTGTGTGGAGGGTGGTCAGAATGGTACTGCGGGTACCGATCACAATGTGCCCACAGATGATAGCCTCTGAGTTCGGGCATAGTTAGGGTATACTTCCGGAAGGTGTCTTAGTGTGTTGATAATTTCGTAATTGATCATAATATGTAATTATTACTTTTATATCTGTTTTATTATATCGAATGATTTAATACTTACCCCTATTTTTTCCATGTGGATGGGACTGCGATGATCACTTTTATGTGGGAGCAGATCGGGAGTTGAGAGATGGTGATGGGACTACTAGACAGCGAGGATAGTTCAGTGGGATAGCTTCGAGGGAGCTATCGTTACATGTATAATGTATAAATAAATGATGTTAATATATTTTGAAGTTCCGTTAGTGAACTGGAATTTCAATATATGTTACAATTACAGTAATATAATGTAAAATAAATGTTGTTATTTACTTGTTTATTACTTTGCGAAGACATCATTATAGTAGCGATTTCTAGGGTCGTTACACAATCTATATTAAAAATATATAAATACATTTTCATTATTCAATTTTAAGATAAGTATGTTTATAATCCTCAAAATTGAAATTAATCTTTCTTCCATATAAAAAGAAATCAAATTAGTTATTGAGAAACATTCGTTTTAATTTCCTGTATCAGATATCATTAAAGATTTAATTAATATGTTTAAGTGGTACTAAGTTTATATATTAGAATATTAAAATAGTCTTAATTTGTTTCATTTATATCTTAAAAAAACCGGAAATAAATTAAATTAAATAAAAAATTTATAATCTAAATTAAATTAGTATAATTTTAACTTAACCAGTTTTATAAAATAATAATAATAATTTTTAAATAAAAATAAAAATAGTATTATTTTAAAAAATATATATGTCCAGTAAATTAATTTGAAAAAAAATCTATATAAAATAATAGTAAGTATAAAAGTAAGTTGTAACATCTACTTATTATAACATCTAATGATTAAAATGAATTATTATATTAGAAGGTAAGTAATCAAGAATAAATTTTTAACTTTTATTTAATCCTTTTTATTATAATTTATATATTTTTATATTTAATCAATAAGGTCAAACCACACTAGAAAAACTATTCATTTTTACAGTGATATTTGTATGATATGATTTTTTTTTAATTTCATATTCATATTAAATAATCGAACACATACTTGATTTTCTTTTAAATATACGTTGTAACAGTGCTTATATTTATTTTCAACATTTAGACAAAATGTTTGTAAAAGGAATTAAAACATTAACTTAAAAGATATTTTGTTTAAGTTAAAAGGAAGAAAAAACTTAACTCAAATTTAAAATACTTTAAATTAAAAAAGTTAAAATAAGTTTAATATGATGGATAACTCAAAAGATATATGAAATAGATTTAACTAAGATAAAAAATTATGATCTACCTTAAATCATACTAATTCTATAAATTAATTTGATAAGAAATTCACTTATGTGTAAGTATAATAGAAAATTTTTAAAATCTACTTATTCCAATATTTAATGGTTAAGATAAATTACTTTTTTAGATCATTATATTAAAAAAAAAAGAATGATAATAATAAAGAATAAATTTTTATTTTTTGTTTTAGGAACTAATGAATCTTCTTCTTTTATAATCTATTATTAAAGTATTATATTTGAAATAAAAATCAATTTTATAATATAACTTAAAATTTTAAAATACATTTTTTTATTTAAAAATATTTTAATTTTTTTAATTGATTATTTTTATATAGGCATATTATGATTTTTTTGAATTTTAAATTAGACCAAAATTCATTCGTTAACACCTAATATAAGATTAAATTGAATTAAATATTATAATTTATTTATCAAAATTATAAATTAACTATTTTTTTACTTAACCTATGAATTAGATTGAATCGGATAATACATTTTAATACAAAATCATAAAATTTAAAATTATAAAGAGAGGTTTGACATGCTATTGACTAATATTTTTGCCAAGTTAACATGTTTTCTTTCTTTAAAATCTTGGGTAAATATTTTTTAATTATTTTTATTTTTTAATTTCATCTTATTAGTATTATTATTAAATTAAATTATTCCTTTTTAAAATAAGTCTCCTTCATTTATATCATTAAATTGTCTGATAAAATAACAGTAATGTATCATCCTTACAATATTAATAATATGCTAGGTTGATAAAGATGTCACATACTTACTCCATATCAACATCACATCAGCACTATGTTATATTTTTCATTAAATAATTGATAATGCCGACAAAAGAATCATATTAGCTACCTTAAAAAAATATACCAAATTGATGCTAAAATTAATAATAGGATAAAATTGAATAAAGTAAACAAATAATAAGAAAAAAATTTAGCCTAAATTTGTTTAACAAAATATCTTTTGAGAATATATTTTCATAATGTATAATAACAAATATTGTGTAAATACATGATAAAAATATATTTTCGTTATACATATTGACAATATTTATGAAATATAGAACAAAAACACGTTTCAATCGAGATATACAATGATACCATTTTTCTTAAGGCCTTACTTCACCCACTGCTGCTTGTGTAATTCACAAACAGAAAATAAAATTTCAGAGAAAAAATAACTGGCGAAAACATTTTTCTTTCATTTTTATTTGTAATATTGCTAGGAGATTTTACATTATCAAATACAACAAATGATGAATTGAACTACAATCAATTCCTATACAAATTTACTATTAATGAGGTGCAGATGGACAGAGAAGACATCTTCCGGAGAAATGAATACCAAAGAACAGCACTTGAATCTTTGACTGTCAAGCTAAAGTTGCCTTCTTGCCTTTTGTATCCCTTGACTGCAACAATAATTTGTTAACAAAGTAATAAAAAGGAAGGAATAGCTATATTTACCCAATGATAAAAAAAGCACAAAACTCTCTCCTGATATTATTGGAAATAAAACATTTGCATTTACATAGTTAAAAAACAAAACAAGAAGGGTGAAATTTGAATTACACCTAGCCATCTAAATTCGTGTGGTTAAGAGTCTGTTCATGGTACATAACTTACATATATAGAAGTGTGATTTGAGAAATCAATAAAAAACAACTCCATTAACAGGATTCACGTAATTATCACACTACAGCCAGTCATCTCCTTTAACAGTTAAAAGGGTACATCATCATTTTCAGTCGCTCAAGATATTTCGTGAAAGATTTAGAGATTTTAAAATTTGAGGGTTTAAACTGTTTCCATGCAACAACCAGCCGTGAACTTGTGAACATTGTTGGCCTCAAGCACATGAATTTGTGAACGTTGCTGGCCTCAAGCACATGAATTTGTGAACGTTGCTGGCCTCAAGCACATGAACTTGTGAATGTTGCAGGCCCCAAGTGGAAGACTCGCAACCACACTGAATGTGTGCGCTTCCTCCGCAAGTTATACGGAGATGAGTTTGTTATCCATATTAGACCTATAAATAGACCACTCTACATTCTTCCAAAACACACACTTCACTCATCTTCTCTTCTCTCATTTTTCATTTTATTCTTATTCTGGGTTTATATACTCTTTTAAGAGTTTCTTGCTAGTTTGGGTTACTCGAAAAATATAAGAAGTTTCTGTTGTATTTTGGAGGACTTATGCAATACATCACGAATAAGTCTTTAACGGCAGTGATTATACACGCATCAAGAATTAAGTTTTGTTCGTGTTCTCGTCAGTTTTTACGACAATCTTAAGGATTTATGACTGACAATAAGAAAACAAACAACACCTCTACACCGAAGAAAACAAACAACGTTTTTGGAGCTTACTACATTTAATGACCTTTTCTAGACTTGACATTGCTTATGCAGGAGGTAGACAAAGTAGATACACTCAATGTCTTAATCGGGAATATTGTGATGCACTTGCAAGGCTTATGAAATACTTATGAGGTTCAATAAATTATGTCATTGGATATAGAGGATTTCCCGCTGTACTAGAAGGGTACAATGATACTAACTGGATCTCTGATTTAGATGAGACAAAATCTACTAGTGATTATGTATTTACACTTGGGGGGCAATTATATGAAGGTCAGCCAGACAAACAATTACAAGATCAACAATGGAATCAGAGTTTGTTACTCTTGAAATGGCTAATAATGAAGTTATGTAGTTGAAAAACTTCTTAGTAAATATTCCATTATGAATGAAATCAACCCCTTTTGTATCAATATATTGTGATTGTCAATCGATAATAATTAAAAACAAGAATTACAATGGAAAAAACAAATATATACAATTGAGACACAATTTGGTGATGCAGCCACTAAAGAATGGAACAATTTCCACTGACTATGTGAATTCAAAACGGAATCTAGCATATTTTCGAACGAAACCCCTAGGGAGAAACATGATTTTAGAAATATCGAGGGAATAGGACTAAAGTCACTGCAAACAAACAAGTGATGGTAACCCAACCTTTGTGATTGGGGATCTCATGAATAAGATTCATATAGGTAAAAACATGTTACTTGTTAGTTCTGTTAGCACTAAAATTGATTTTGTCTATTCCTATGGTGTGTGAAAGTGTTAGATACTGCATCATTAAAAGGTTAAACTTTGTGATTAAAATTCTATGAGGTGTACAAATTTTAGTCAAAACAAAATTTTTCATAATTTCATATCTCTTATAGGTGATGTATGATTTGCAGCATACGCTTGATGAAATCACCTATATGAGTGTTGAGTGGGCCGCTTGTACGAGATCTTTGCAAGATTTCTAGAATACTCATGAATACTAAGCACGCACATGACCTAATAAGTGTAACATAGCGATAATAGCAAGAATTGTAGGAGTGTATTGTGATTGTTAAACCAACACACACTAAGTGTTTTGATTCATATAGCTTGCTATATCAACTACACTATGTGCAAAGTTTTCAGTGTAAGACTGGTTCATATAGCTTGTTATACCAGCTCTGATGCATTACATCCTATATAAGACCCAAGATTTTCTTCTTTTATTCTTTTATCACCTTTTTATTTTGCAATATGAGGGGGATTGTTGTAGAAGAGGGATATTGCAAAACCTAAAAACACGCTCCATTCTTCTCTCGTATTTCCAGGCAACAACCACCCATGAACTTAGGAACGTTGCAGGCCCCAAACACAAGACTCGCACAACCACTCTGAACATGTGCGCTTCCTCCGCAAGTGTTGTTATGCAGAGATGAGTTTGTTACCCATTCTACATCGATAAATAGACTACTCCACACTCCTCCAAAACACACACTTCACTCATCTTTTTTTCTCTCCTTTTTCATTCTATTCTTATTCTGAGTTTATATACTCTCTTGTTAATTTATAATGTATCCTAGGGGACTTGTACAATATATTGCGGATAAGTCCTTAGGAACAATAATTATATATGTTCGTGTTCTCGTCAGCTTTTAGATAAGTGTAAATATTACAACAATTAGTATTAGATTAAATATGTTTTTTTCCTTTAATATTAACATTTTTTTTTTGTCCCTAAAAAAGTCTTTGTAGTTTTTTCTTCTTGTTATTTTAAAAGTCTTGGTTTTAGTTCCTCTCATAAGTCAGCGTTAAAAAAAATACTGACATGATTACAACATAATGCTAATGTCATTGAGGACTAAACCAAAAAATGGCATTTTTGTAGGAACTAAAAACAAATTAATAATTTTACAAGGACTAAACAAAAATAAAATACATGACTAGAAGAAAAATGTTTAAATATTAATGTACTCTTCATCTCCACCTATACACCTATCTTTTCTTCCTTCCTTCTCAAAACCTCATTCCTTCTTTCTGGTCTAATTGTGGCAAAAAATAATCCAAAATCTATAGTATGAAGACAACAATTCTAAATTTCATGAACTACAAAGACACAATATTGAATCACAAGGGTAACATGTCCCTAACCATTGTATTTGGGATATCAAAGTAATAAAGATGTGAATAATGTCCTCGATTTTAGTTGGACTGTGAAGTTAGACACATACTGACTGAAAAGGAAAGTGCTTGAATTTGGTTAAGTCTAACGTAAATTTGAAGTCCACCCTATTTGACGTGTAAATTATGAAAAAAAAGAACATATAGGATTAAAATCATCTCTCGGCTCTCCATTATTAGCTTATGAGGACAAAACTTAGATGTAGTGCTATAGACAGTAGCTGCACTCTTCTCCAATTAGAATTGAAGTTCACTTCGACAACATGCATTGACATTTAACGAAATTAATTATCATGCAGATCATCGAGATAAAACTCCAGTATGATTGAAGAACAACACAACAATATTTACGGTATTATATCTAAGCTATATCTATCATATTAATAAGTAAAAGTAAATAAGAAAAGATGTTGATACTCCCCTGTTATTAATGAAGTTCAGAATGGTAATTTTGTCCTAGCGTATATCTCTTTTATTGTTTTTATCCTTGCAAATATGTAATTTTTTTAGTCCATTTAAATATGTCTTTTGCTTTTCATCTCCAATGACACATCATGACATAATTACCGTTAACATATATGTAACAGAGCTTGACACCAGGGACTAAAATCAATATTTTAAAATTTTCAAAGTCAAATTTTAAAATACATTTAGGGACAGAACAAAATGCTAATATTATAGAGATAAAAAACATATTTAACCCATTAATATAGTTTTTGAAGTTAAATGAGGATCTTTTTACTTTTTCTTGACTAATGAAAAAGCTACAACTGATATATAGGCCCTTTGAAATAATAAGTGAAAGATGCTATAGTTGTCAATTACCAGAGCTAGTTTTTTTCCTTTTTTTTGTTTGGTTACGTAAATTGAAGTGGATGTCAAAATATCCAATACTCAACAAACAACAAGTTCCTACTCACATCCGTAAACGCAGTATGAACAAAATTCTGTTAAATTGAATAAATTATAAAAACGAAACTCATACTAGTTCACGGGAGTAGAATCACCTCCTGCGAATTATATCAAATCAAGTTGAAGTGACCCCCAAACATTAAGGCTCAAATGAAACAGACATTGAGGGAGAGGGGAAAAACCTGGGCAGCAACAGATCTCTTTGAATCCAGGAACTGGTGATATATATTGTAGAGTCTTCTCTTCTCTTCTTCTGACACAGATGGTCTAGCCTTGGATGCTGTCAACTTCAGAAGAGAATCAGTAATAACTGGTGTTTTTTCTGGCCTAGAGGCATCTACGTTGTCCAGAACATCATGAACTGCCGCAAGCTGCGCATCTGAGAGGAGAGCTTGGAGATCAGCTCCACTGAATCCCTCAGTCATATTAGCTATTGTAGCCAAATCAATATCCTTGGCCATTGCTAACTGCAATATTAGAAAGACTCATTTTAATTAAATTGAAAAACGAATTTGTTTGATAAATTATTGATGTCAACTAGACGAGGTAAAAAGGTACTTATCACTACTAATAGAAAGAGTAAGACTAACAACAGTAATCCTCCCTTGTCAAACACGTAAATATTAAAATTCAAAATTAGGGTAGGTTAATGACCAACTTGACATTCTGCAGCCTGCACATATTTTGGGTGGAATTAAATGTTATAGTGACAGCCAATGAAATTCCTACAGCAGACCCACAATAGCGCTTGCCACTATAGAAATGATTAAAGGAATTGTGTGTATTAAACCACACATAATTATTTTTAATTATTAGTAAAGATACAGTTATGGAAAGAAAGAAACATAAAACATAATCCCTAAATTACAGCTATACAGTATTTCCCTATTTCCATATTTATATCTTTAACACTTCAAGCTGGAGCATGTATGTTATATGCACCGAGCTTGTTATAAATACAATCTACATGAGACTCCTGGGATCAGCCAGTCGGTCATTGGAGCTAACAAAGTTGGTAGTGACAACCACCCGTAGAATGGAGGTCCCGAAAAATTTTGCAAGTGAAGTGATAAAAAAAAAAAAAAAAGGGAATACAGAAAATTGGATTCGAGGAATGTAGAGTTTGGATTCAGCAACATATGCAATGTGAACTGTGGAGAAATACTTCAGATTTAGCCACAAAGACCTCAGACAACTAGACAACTCCTTAGAATTTTGGAAATTTTATATTTATTCCAGACTATGCAGTGAATATAGATGGGGACATAGTGCACTAGACTTGCTAGCTAAAACATAACCAATATTTTTTTGAGCAAGCAATGAATGAACTTTAATGGAAACCTACAAACGAGGAAGGGTTGAAGGTTAAAGAGAAAAGGTTTATTAGAGTTAGATGGGTCTATAAAGTGAAGGAAGATCAATAGAAGGCAAGGCTAGCTGTGAAGTTTTTATTTTTTTTTTTTTTTTTTTTTTTTTTTTTAGAAAAAGATTGGTTTGGATTACAATGAAGTGTTTGTATCTATGGAAAGAATTCAAAATGTTAGAATTTTGTAGATATGCTAGAATCCTAGCGACAAAAAAGCTGACATTAAGATCCATTGATGATATTAAGATCAATTAGATTGATTCTATATTTATTGTAGGTTTAATTATTGTTTTTAATCTCTGAAATTTGAGATATGTAATTTTTTAGTCACTCAAATTTTAAAAAATAAATTATTTTAGTTCCTGAAATTTAGTAAAATATGGTTTTAATTCTTAAATAATAAATTTGAAGGACTAAAAATAGTTTTAAACAACTCATTTTAGTTCTCAAAATTTACTGTTTGGGCACTAAAATCATATTTTTCCAATTTTGAGAGACTAAAAATATAATTAAACCTTTAATTATGTTGGAATTATTAATTACTTGTACCTATCTTTGTACCTATGTTTTCTAGCTTAGACTTTTGTCCATTGACTTTCCATCTACTCAGTGTATATGTTCTTATCATTATAAATAAGATACCATGGTAAAGGTGATTAAACCCTCTGAAAAGGTATTTTCTGTCTTTTATTTAATCTTAAGTTTTGCGACGGTAGCGGATGACCCTATGGTGGAATTGATGAAACTCTACGCCAATACAACTCTGTATCTGCGTACTATGAAGAGTTCAATGCCATCATAACCTGCTTAAACTTGTCAGAAAAATATATGCCTAGCTGTTTCTTGGGTGAATTAAGGAAAGATATCCACATGTTGCTGCGAATGTTTCAAACCACCACAGTTAACAAAGCATGTTCCCTTGTGAGATTGTATGGAGCTGCCAACACTTCCATCGTGATGAATGCAGACCGACAGAAACAACAAAAAGGAGTTCTAGGAACAAAACCTATGATGGTTGAACTAGTTGGATAGGCGAGAACCAACTTGGTTGGAAACAAGGATAAGGGTAGAGGAGGGCAAAGCTTAACACCGACTTACATGAATGAAAGAGCAAAGGGTCTCTGTTCTTTTTGTAATAGTCCCTAATTGCCGACGCACAACTTGACACATAACATATTACAAATATATTTCTTGGAGGTATGGGAGGAAGAGAATGGAGTACGAGGCGATGATCTGGAGAAGGTGATATTAGAACCACCATTGAAACCAAAACCACAAATTTATGTTAATGCATTAATGGGGATGGCGAGTTTTTGTACCATGCTTATTACAGGTTATAATCAAAAGAAGCCCTTGCACGTGTTGATTGATTGGACATCCAACTAGCCAAGAAATATGGATGCAAGATTGAGAAGCGGGAGCCTGTGAATGTGGTGGTGACTCACAAATCCAAGCTAACAATTTCCTTAGTAGTGAAGAATTTCATGTGGACGATTCAATAAATAACATTCATATTCGATATGTTATTGACACCCCTAGGGTGCTGTGACTTGATTCTTGGTATTGAATGGTTGGTTATCCTAGGACATATTACTTGGAATTTTACCAAGTTAACAATGGATTCCATGATGCAAGGTAGAGACGTCATGTGTTGCAGGGTTCTTCATCCACTAGAATCAAAATGGCTAAGAAACAACAATTGGTGAAAGCCATAGATGAAGGGTTCATATCTCCATGATTCATTTATGAAACGAAGAAGCATATCTGCTGCAGTCTTTAATGACCCATGCATCTACATTATCAGTATCAAAAGAAATATATCAGATATTCAAGGATTTTGATGATGTCTTCCAAAAACCCACCCACGTAGCCCCCTTCAGACTTGGGTTCGACACAAGATTCTTTTACTGCATGAAGCAAATCCAATGGATAAGAGACCGTATAGGTATGCGAAAAGGGGCAAAAAGATGCTAATGATAAAATAGTGTAAGAATATTTGAGGGCAGGAGTAATCCAAAACAACAACATTCCCTACACTAGTCCGGTTGTGTTGGTGGGAAAGGATTGATCATGGAGGCTTTGTGTAGATTATAGGAATCTCAATAGAAATACTATGAAGAATAAGTTCCCAATTCCCTTAGTGGATGACCCCATGGACGAGCTACACAAATCTAAGATTTTTTCCAAAATTGATTTGTGGTCTAGATACAACCAAGTGAGGATGGAGCCAACTGATATTCATAAAACTACATTTAGAACTTATGGTGGACATTATGAATATGTCGTAATGCCATTTGGACTTATCAACACCCCAATAACATTCCAGGGTCTCATGAATCATGTGCTCTTGCTAGTTTTCTTTGATGATATCTTAATTTACAGCTAAGATTTGACTGATCACATGAACCACCTATGAGTTGCTTTGCAGGTTCTAAGAGAAAATTTGTTGTTTGCTCCTAAATCCAAGTGTTGCTTGGTTGTGGAACAAGTTAAGTATCTAGGTGATATCATACACTAACAAGATAGGAACCATGGTGTAATGGCCTATGCCTCAAACATTAAGGAAATTATGGGGGGTTTTTGGGCTTAGCGGCATACTATAGGGATGTCAAAATAGACTTAACCTGATAAATCGGCCCGAAAGACCCCAGAAATAAGCCAAGCTTAGTTAACAAATTTGTGACTTAAATTCAACTAGACCTATTTTGGTCCGGTCCGTTTAGGCTATGACCTACATAGACTTAGGCTAGACTAGCATGTAGGCTTATGAACTGACCCGTTTTATAAAATAATAAAAATTTTTAAAATAAAAAATATAATATTATTTTATTAGAAAAAAAAATATATATATATATATATATATTATAAATTAATTTGATAAGAGATTTACTTATTCTAAGAGTAAATATAAGCTAAAGTCTCTTACATCTACTTGTTCTACCATCTAATGAATTATTATTTTAGATCAATAAATCACTAAAAAAATTGAATGATGAAAATGAAGCGTAATTTTTTTACTTTTATTTTGGGTGAAATAAATATCTTCTCTTATAATTTATATATTAAATTATTATATTTAAAATAAAATTAATTTCATTAATATAATTTAGATTTTTAAAATATATTTTAATTTTTATTTAAACATTTTTTTAATTAATTGTTTTTATATAGACACATTAATAATTTTTTAAATTTTCAATTAAGGCAAAATTGACCTGCTAGCTCGTTGGCCTAACACATAGAGTAAAAAATTATGAGTTGTTAAGATATAGGTCGGGCCATCAAATTTTTTCTCTTGGCCCATAGGAGACTAGGCTGAGCTAGACCGTAGGGATGACAAAACGGGCTCGGCCCGCCATAATATGGCGGGGCGGGTTGGTGTTTTCAGCCCACCAGCCCGCTTTGGCCCGCCCTGCCAACCCGTCGAGCCAACCTCGCGGACTGGGCGGGCTAGCCCGCGGCCCGCCTAATTAATAAAAAAATAATTTTTTATTGTAATAAAATTAATTATAAAGATAATATATAAAGTTAAAAATTTTAAAAAGAGAATTAAAAAAGTTTTATTCTCACGTAAAATATTCTCCTTCCCGAAACATAACCTTCTCTCCTGTTCTCCTTGTTTATCCTAAGCACCGATTATTTTTATCCTTATTACTTGAATTAATGGTGTAAGAATTACTCAACCAAGAATAATATGAAGTTTTATCAAATAAAAAAGATATAGGTATTTGAATTTTTCAATATAAAAAATATAAATTTTATAAGTTTAACGTTATTTATATATATATATATATATATATATATATATATTTGTTATTATTTATTATTATGTAAATTTTATTATTGTTCTAAATTATAATTTCTTAAAATAATGTATTAATTTATATTATTAAATTGAAATAATATATATTGAATTATTGACAAACAAATAATAATTTTATTATTAAATTTATTTAAAAAAATATATTTTTTTCTAAATTATGGCATGTCAGCCGCCAACCCGCCCCAAAGGCGGGCGGGCCAAAACGGGCAGGCTGACCCGTTTTGCCATCCCTACTGGACCGTCTGCTTCAACAACTCTAACTACAACATATTTGTAAAAGGATATGGGATAGTGGCACAACCCTTAAATGACATGTTGAGCTGAACCAAGGAAGCAAAGGAGGCATTTCGTAGGCTCAACGAGTTATTAAGTATTGCACCTATCTTAACACTACTAGACTTCTTTAAGACATTCACAGTGGAAGTAGATGCATTAGGTAAGGGTGTTAGAGCGATGTTCATACAGAAACAACACAGCAATTTCTTACATTAGTCAGGGATTGAACCTCCAACAATAGTCCTTACCCACCTATGAAAAGGACCTGTTGGCAGTTATGTTGTTAAAAGGTGGTGACATTATCTCTTGAATAGGCAGTTTATTATGAGGATTGACCATTATAGTCTCAAATATCTTTTAGATCAAAGACTAACTACGGATTTCCAACAGAAGTGGTTAGTTAAGCTCATGGAATTCAATTTTTCCATTGAGTACAAAAAGGTTCAAGAAAATTTTGTGGTACAAGTGTTATCTTGAGTGGAATAGGTTGAGTGCAACAATTACATTCTGAGTTATTAGAAAGAATTTGCCAGTCATGGGGGAAGAATACTAGCTTGCAGCAAATAATATAAGATATATAGGATAACTCAAATAGCCACAAACATTACAGGTGAAAAAATGGGGAGTTGAGACCTAAGGGAACACTAGTGGTGGGAAAGAATTTAATGCTCAGGAGTGAATTGTTGAATTGGTTGCACGCTTCTGCTACAGGTGGGCATTTTGGAATAAGTGCAACCATGCGGAGATAAAAAATGGTTGTGTATTGGAAAGGGTTGATAGGTGATGTAAGAAGCTTCATCCAAAAATGTTCAATTTGTCAACAGAGTAAGTATGATACAACCACTAGCAGATTGCTACAACCATTATCCATATCAGGAAAATTTTGGCAACATATAAAATGGATTTTGTAGAAGGGTTACCTAGTTCTAATGGCAAACAAGTAATTCTCTTGGTGGTGGATCGACTGAGTAAAACATCCCACTTCATTACTTTGTCTCACCCATACACTGCCAAAGAAGTAGCCCAGGCCTTCATGGATAACGTGTTTAAACTACATGGCTTTCTTGACTCAATTACAAGTGATAGAGATGCTATATTTATTAGTCAGTTTTGGCAAGAATTCATAAGTTTGCAAGGAGTGTAGTTACAACTTTCCACCAACTATTATTCTCAAACAAATGGCCAATCGGAGATAATCGGAGATTGTGAACTGATGCTTAGGAACTTACCTCCGGTATATGTGTGCAAATTCCCCTCACAATTGGGCGAAATGACTTCCCATGGCTAAGTGGTGGTATAACACGACGTATCACACTGCCACTAAAACCACACCATATGAGATAGTTTATGGACAACCACCTCCTTTACACCTACCCTACCTTCCAGGTGAATCACAGGTTGAATTAGTTGATAGAAGCTTGGTGAAACGAGAAGAGATGATGAAGTTGGTTAAATTGCATCTTAAAAGAGCCCAAGACCGAATTGTTAAGTAAAATTAAATGGAAAATAATAGGTTCAAATATTAGTTGGAATATTTTGTTTTTGCAATTGTCTTGGGCAGTTATGTTTTTAGATAGTTATTGTTTTGTTGGGTAGTTAAAATAGAATGTCCATTCTATACTTATAAATACCAGTTGTATCATTCATTTAAAGATCACAAAAATTAATAATATTCAATTTCCTTAATCTCTTTGTTTTTAAATTGATATCATGAGCGAGAGTTTGAGTGTGAGAGCTTGAAGAGAGTGATGGTTGGTCTAATAAATAGTGTGACCCTGTCCCAGTTGACAAAAGCAATCAAGTATGATAATTGGAGTCTCCAAATAAAGGCATTTCTGAGATCCCAAAGTAATTGGGAGATAGTCGAGGATGGTTTTGAAGAACCAGAAAACATCGAAGGAATGTAAGGAGCCGTAAACAAAACGTTGAAAGAGAAGTGTGAGAAGCATAGTACAATCTTGTACATGTTGTACCGAGCTATTGATGAATCCATCTTTGAGAAGATAGCAAGTGTTAAAATGTGAAAAGAAGCATGGGATGCGTTGGAGAGAGAGCATATAAGGATGATGGCCGAGCATATAAGGATGATGTCCATTGTGTACCTATAAATACCAGTTGTATCATTCGTTTACAGACCACAAAAAGTAATAATATTCAGTTTCCTCAATCTCTTTGTTATCATGAATGAAACAGTTAGTTGACAAGCGTAGAACGGATAAATAGTACCAAGTGGGTGATTGGGTTTACGTCAAGTTACACCCTTATAGATAGGTTTTTGTAACCCGCCACAGAATGAAGAATCCACAATATTTTTCATGTCTTGCAGCTTAAAGGACATGTGTGATGTGAACATGACCTATGATAAGGGCTAGAGCAAGGGAAACAAAGGAAGCTCTTCAACAAGTATTGTTGGTTGACCAAATTGTGTTTTGGATTAATCAATTAATGGGCTTTAGTTTGATTTTGTTTTAAGTTGTAATAAGGGCCCAATTGAAAATTTAGTCATCAGCCTTTGGGAGACCAAGGAGTGCATAGCTGATTGACTTTTGGTTGCCACAGTTTCAGATACAATCAGTCATTAAGTAGTTTCAATTCCTAGGTTAATGGATCATTATTAGCCTTTATTTGTTTCCATTAAATAGTTTTCAATTCCTAGATTAATGAGTTATTATTAGTATTTATTTTCTTTTATTGAGTCTTGTGTAATTCTGATGGCAACGCTTCTATATCAGCTGAACCATTCTTATCAAGAAATAACAAGTGGAATTTTATTCAGAAATATTAGAGTTTATCTCTTTTATCTTAGTGAGAGTGATTCTCCTAAATTCTTGAGTGATTCAAGAACTGTATCAAAGGACTGTCACATCCTTTGTGTGTTGCCTTCCTTGGGAAGAGTGATTCTTTCCTTCCACCTTCTTTCTAATTCCTAAATTTCTTACAAGGTTTTAACCCTAAAGATCCTAAATTACCCCTTGTGATTCATATCAATGTGGGAACTGCAACTGTTTCAACTCAGTTACCCTTTCCGGTGGAGGCAGCAATGGTGACTCGTGAGCCAGAGGCAGTTTTGGATGGGATGACAGTTAAAAGGGGAGGTGCAGCTGTAATTAAGGTTTTAGTGAAATGGAAGTATCAATTTCTAGAAGATGCTACTTGGGAATTTTATTATGATCCAAAACAAAAGTATCCCGAATTTCATCCTTGAGGACAAGGATAGGTTTAAGGGGAGGGCATTGTTATGAATATTTGTTATGCGCATGTAAATAACGGAAATATTTTGGCAATTATAAGATGGTGCACGTGTAAATAATAGAAATATTTTGACAATTATTTCTGTGTATATAGGGATTGGTTGCCTGGTTTTCGAAAGACAGTTTTTGTAATTCAATTGTATCAATTTCTCTCTCTAATGAAATGATCTCGAGACTGTTTCTGTAGTACGTTCCATATGCATGGTATTCTTCGAATTATCTTCTAGAATACTTGTTTTATCATAACACAAATCTATCTTTGTGTGTGCAACAGACTCACCTCGCTATGTTGATTTTGGATCTGTGGTCCTTTTTTAATTTCAACACTGCTTGGTCAAATATTCTCTATTTGGTTGGATATCCACTGTTTGGATGGTTATTCTTTGTTTGACTATTTTAAACACTATCTCACTGTTTTTGTCTCTTTCAGGCTGATCCATGATGACTCGAAAACCTGATGTGCGTATTTTCACCAACCTTGTCTTTGACCCGCTATCTAAAGACAAGTTGGATGGCTGTACCTATGATTCTTTGACCTCTGAAATCAAACTTTGGCTCAAGGGTCAAGATTATCTTGACCATCTCACTATTAAAGAAGAAATTGTAGCTGAAACTGACCAAAATTAAATGCAGTAAAATTGATGCTCAACTTGTCGGGTCATCAATTCTACTATTCATCCTTATGTCAAATAGATTTTCCACTCCCACAACGTGTTTGAATCGGTTTGTACACGGGAAAAATCGATTTTCACTAGTGACATATAAATCTCTCGAGTATGTCAGCACTTCATGGATACAAATGTGGCACAAACACTAGATGGAACCATGTTGTCCATTTTGGGTTGTATAAGTGGCCTTCTTCATGATTTTATGAAATTCTGCCTCTTGTTGTGACCCCTGACAAGGAATTGGACAATCGTCAAACCTTTTCCATGTTACTAGCTTTGTGTGGCTTACCTATACAGTACTCTCAGGTTCAGTGTCATATTTTAGGATATCCTTTTGCCCCCACTATTGCTTAGTCCGCTTTGCTTCTCATTCCTACTAAATCAACTACCGACTCGACATTTAGTCTGTCCCTTAGCCATCTACCCCAATTGACTCTTCATCCTTGATCTCATAAGGAGGTGATCGTGGTCGCTCTCCCAAAATAATGGTGATCATAGTACACAATTCAAGTGTGACATAAGCAATTTGCAAACAATAAACAAAACATGGACAGTAGTCATAGGATTTATACTAACACACCTTTCTAGAAAGTACAGCAAGAATTTCCAATCTCTCATGCCAGGACGGAAAGTCACAGAATAGAAGACGATCTAACCTACCAGGTCTCAACAGTGCAGCATCAAGTAAATCTGGTCTACTGCTCGACAAGAAAAACAGATATTATAATAGCCAAAAATTAATATCCATTTCCTATTTGTTCTTATTATCATAAGAAATAGTCAAAACAAACAAGGACCAATTGTAAACTTATCATAACCAACGCATTTTTCCAGCATAGAAGAAATTTTCGAATACAAGAAAAATATATCATATATCAAAATTAATTAGATGTTAGAATATGATGCAGCAGTTACTATAATTAGTGAATTAAATAAATAGGAGGATGTATTGGGCGAAGGATTCATTTGTCTTGTAATATCAGAATAAAACTTTGCTCTTTATAAAAGCAGAAACCATTTGTGAAAGGGAAACCCTTGAAGAAGTATTCTTTCTCCTTTTTCCCTTTTATATCAATAAATATAAAATCTTTCTTTGCTTCATAACAAATTGCAGTAGCAGAAGTATAAAGTTCGATTCATTCAGCTCCTGTTTTCTTCTATAAATGCTTGCCGACATGTTTATCCAAACTAACCCTAAATCTTGTACCAGAAATTGCCACCTGTAACTGGATAATCTAAATTAAGTATAAGCCAGAAGCAAATCAAGGTTGAACTACAGTCCTCTTTTAACTTTATATTCTCTCAGCTAGTCTTTTCATCCCTGGACACTTCATTAAAATATTATTCTATTTTTGACAAATAAATACATGTTTGAGAAACTGACCTGGTAGCAGCAAACACAAATACACCAGTTAAAATTTCAACACCATCTAGCTCAGTCAGAAACTGTGAAAATTGAACATACTGAAGTCAGATTTTATTCAACAAAGTAAAAGTTAAGAAAGTGACAACTATGTACTGACTTGATTAACAACTCGATCAGTGACTCCAGTATTGTCATGCCCTCTCTTGGGGGCAATAGAATCAAATTCATCAAAAAAAAGTAGACATGGTGCTGCAGCTGCTGCTTTAGAGAATATATCCCTAACCTGAAATCAGCATTGAACACCCAGATCTTCTATGTAAAATTTGTAATTTTAATTTGAAAGACTAATATATTATAGACTAAACTAAAGAAACAGCCTACATCACCTACTAATAGACATTCATGATCATATGGCTCACACAGTGACATTATGAAAAGCCAGTTTTGAGTCAATTGAGATGTGAGAAAAACCTTTCATTTTATGCAGAGAAATTGAGAACATATATCGACTAAAAAGGCACACAAATAAATTAAATAATAGCATACACCGATGAATCCCAAAGAAGGTCTTATTGATCTCTTACAGCTTGTTCGGAAGCACCAATGTACTTGTTTAACAGCTCTGGCCCTTTAACTGATATGAATCGAAGTGAAGAAGTGGCGGCCACAGCACCAACTATGTGAGTTTTGCCACAACCGGGAGGACCATATAAAAGGACATTTGACCGCAACCTCAACGGTGCTTGTGCAAAAGTTTTTGGAAACTTCGATGGCAGCTCTATCATCTGAAATAATTTAACCAACAACCTAAAATCATGTAAGAACACAAGTATCAAGTAAACATACAACAAAAAGCAAAAATAATTGATGTTAAGCCACCTTAAATGCCGTTTGTTTGGGAGCTGTTTTAATTGCAACCTCAAGAATGGTGGTTTAGTCCTATATCAACTAGTTTACATTAGGAAGTCCTCATCTTGATAACTAGTTTTGTAAGGTTAAATTAGTCCTGCAATTGGCTTAGCAAGTATTCGAGTTGGTAATGCCAAATATAATAATAATACCTCTAGACTCAAATATAAGCAAAAATTAACTAATTTTACAGTGATTAATAATGGTAGTTATTCTCATTTAATGTACTTAATTTCAACAGATAAAGAAGTAAATTTTCTACATTACCCTTAATCATGTTTATTGGAGATGATGCCCTGACTTAAACATACACGTATTTTTTAGATAATAACAATAAATAAGGTTGAGTTCGTTGGAGTTTACTTAGATTTAAGTCCACTAAACATGACATTTTTTTGTTCTATTTGAATCCAGAGGGAGTGTTACTTCAAATCTGAAAATCAAAACATGATACATAAAATCAAGTGAGAGAACAACAACATTCTAATGTTTCACAAAGTCAGACCTCCTTTATAGCATTTCGAATGTCAACAAGACCACCCACATCATCCCATCCAGAACGGCTATCATCAGAAGCTGATTTTGTGATATCACGCATTGCAACTGGAAGAAAATCAACCATTGCCTGAGAGAAATCCTCCCTTAGTATAGCCGGACTCTCATGCACATCAATTGAAGCATTCAACGGAAGAAAACGGCGAACAGCAGAATGGACAGTTCTGTCAATTAATATTTCCTGGGAGGAATCAAAATATTAAATTTTTGCAAATGCAGCTCAAAGATAGTAATCAACAGTTCCTTCATAAAGAAATATTCAAATTGACAACCAAACTTCCACAACAAGCGTATTCATTAAATGTAAATGATGCTGATAATATAAGATCAGTAGATGATATAGGATCCATTAAACTGAGTCTATATTTATTTTAGGCTTAATTATGATTTTAGTCTCTGAAATTTAGAATGATTATGGTTTTGATCCCCAAATTTTTAAAAAAAATTATTTTAGTTTCTCAAAATTGAGAAAATATGATTTTAATCCCTAAACATTAAATTTGAGAAACCAATATAAGTTTTTTAAAACTGTTTTAGTCCTTCAAATTTAGTGTTTAGGAACTAAAACCATATTTTACTAAATTTGAGGGACTAGAATGAATTTTTTTTACTTTCAAGGACTAAACAAGAATTTACCCCAAATTTTAGAGACTAAAAATAACTAAACTTTCATGTTATTAGTCTAAAAATAGGGTAACTGAATCTTTTTTAATTATGTTCTCTTCCCTATAAATTGAATAACTCCACTATGGTTTAAACACACAGCATTCATCATACGCCTTCTTGATTTTTCTCTTGTCAACATCTTATCAAGAACCTAACTAGAAGGGATCCCTAATCCAAGCTTTACCTATGGGCCTGCTGCTCGTGTGTAAATTTTTGAGAAATTGTGTATGTTTTCCAATTTTGTTTTCTTTCCCTACCGTGACTATTCATCATTAGCATTACTGTTCACCAACAAAGACTGCGAAGATCTTTGCAACAAATACTTTGTGACAAGACTTGCACCACAGTGCTAGTTTTGGATTTGCGGTTCTATTTCCATTCTGACTGCTATTCTCTCTCCGAGAATCAATTATGTTGTTCTCCCCCTATAAACTGAATAGCTCCTCAAATTTGGACCTATTACTCTGGCAAATTTAGAGTTTATGATCATTTCGAAATACTCATTGATAGGCTCTCTAATTTATCTGGAAGATTGACATCAGTACAACATTGTCGCTTTGTGCCTAGTGCAAGAACCAATGACATTATTGGCATTGCCTCTGAAGCTATAAATTGGCTTGATAAAAATGCTTTGTTCGTAAATTTGCAATTAAAATAGATATCACTAAGGCCAATGACATCCTGGATTGGAATCTTCCATTGAAAGTGCTCCAATTATTGGATTAAACGCATTTTATATTCTATTAATGGATATCAATTGGTTAGTTTGGTTGTGGAAGGAGAGTAAGGCTAGGAGATTCCCTTTCTCCTTTGTTGTTTGGTTTGGCAGAAGAAGTTATGAGTCAAAGTCTTACTAAATTAGTGATAAGAATAAACTACCTATCACCAAGATATACATCCACAAGAGACAATCAAAAGAAGAAACAATCTTAAACCACCAGTAACACGGCACACAACACTTAAAGGATGCAAAACACCCAACAGTTACAGCCCATCCAAGGGGTGTAAAGTCAAGGGATGCGAATCAAGAAACATAACTGTTGGAATAGAGATACAACCATGAGGAAATGTTATATCAATTAGGAACTTTGTTAGAAACAATATAAATAGATGTAATTCAGATTAGGAAAGACATGAAGAAAATTAGGAAGGAATTGCATTGTGGAGAGACAGACTCTCGAAAACCTGTGTTATAAAATATCTCAAAATTATCTTTATAAATTCTATTCATTTTTTCAATCCTGTCTAGTTCTTTTTTGTCCTTATCAATTTGGTATCAAAGCACCGATAAGGTGCTTTGCTTCTAACAATGGTGGCAACTAGTTCTAATTTTGATAATCATACACAATGGAGAATTTTGGAGATGTTGATGGTGGACAGACAAAACTGAGATACAGAACGGCAACAACGTGAAACACATTTTGCATTAATAGAAGCCATGGTAGAAAATTTGTCCAAGCATTCAAAAAATGGCACGCCCAAAGGTTCTGTCAATGGAGAAGAAACACCTAAGAACCACGCCGGAGAAGGAAAAATAGAACGATGGAGAAAATTGGACATCCCCCCATATGATGGAGACACTGATGCCTATAGATGGATAAATAAATTGGAATGCTTCTTTCAAATGAGAAATGTACTAGAAGAAGACAAAATTCAAGCAGTTATAGTGGCACTAGATGGAAAGGCGCTATCTTGGTTCCAATGGTGGGTGTTGAAAGTCCCACATCGCCTACCTCATGTCATTTGGTATGGTTTAAATACATGTTAGGCTACTCCACATATTGCCAATTGGTTTTATGTTGGAACCTTAACATGGTATCAGAGCCAAACCCTAACATCTTTTCGATTATTGTCATGGGCCAAAAGTTGCCCTATAGTTGGGTCAAAAGTACCCTTTGTCTGGTTCGGCAGGCTTCGTTGGAGGGAGCATGTTGAAAGTCCCACATCGCCTACCTCATGTCATTTGGTATGGTTTAAATACATGTTAGGCTACTCCAAATATTGCCAATTGGTTTTATATTGGGACCTTAACAATGGGAAACTTGCAACTCCAACATGGGATGAGGAGAATTCAAAGTTGTCATTCTTGAAAGATTCCAAACTTTTGTCACTCTCAACCCTTTTGCTACTCTCCTGGCACTTAAACAAGAAGAAACGGTAGAATAGAACGTTGAACAATTCAAAAGGTTTGTAGGTTTGTTGCAAAATGTTGGTGAAGAAATTTTAAAGGACATTTTTGTGAACAAATTGAATGAAGACATTGGGGTAGAAATTAAACTCTATGAACCCCCCACTTTATCAATCATGGTCAAGAAGGTATAAGGAGAATGTTTTCGCTGTAAAGAAAAACGGAGCACCTCTCATGTATGCAGGAATAAACAACTTTGGATAATGTTAGCAACAGATGAAGATGATAATGAAAACTCCAAAGAGGAACCCAAACCAAAAATTAGAGAAAGACCCCAATTATCCATGAATAGTATTTGGGATTTACTTCTCGTCGATCCTTAAAGGTTTTGGGAAATATTGATGATCACAAAGTCATATTATTGATAGATTGTAACGCCACCCATAACTTCATTTCCAAGGAACTAGTAGAAAAACTACAATTAAAATTGGATGATACTTTGTCATACGTGGTCGAAGTTGGAGATGGTCACAAAATCAAATGCAAGGGAGTATGAAGAAAAGTTCCTTTGAAAGCGCAAGAAGTACAGGTACAACATCAGTTCTTCTTATTTAGCCTTAGAGACGTAGATGTGCTTCGTGGAATGGAATGGTTAGCAAGCTTGGAAGAGATTAGAGTCAACTTGGAATAACTAACATTGGCCCTTAAGATTGATGGCAGAAAGTGATTTTCAAGGGAAAACCTAAACTTCCAAAGAAAGATGCCTCACTTAATACTATGTTGAAAGTTTTGCATCAAGGAAAAAAGTTACTTATTAATTATCATCATATTCAAACAGAAAGAGATTTGAGAGATTCAATTCCTTCCTAATTTAAATATGTGCTAGATGATTTTCCCTCCATCTTTAAGCCTCCAAAAGGACTTCCTCCTCAATGGCATCAAGACCATGACATTCACCTTAAAGAAGGAGCCCAAATATCGAATATTAGACTATATAGATATCTTCACTATAAAAAAATAGAGATTAAAAAATTGGTTGCTGAAATGTTAGAAGCAGGAATCATAAGGTCATCTACAAGTCCTTATTTCAATCTTATCATACTAGTCATAAAGAAAGACGATAGTTGGCGGTTTTGTATAGATTACCGAGCCTTAAACAAAATCACAATTTCCGACAAATTTCTCATTTGTTGAACAAAATATGATGGGCTCATGTATTTTCAAAACTGGATTTAAGATCCAGATATCACCAAATTAGGATGAAGGAAGATACAATTGCAAAAATCACATGAAGGCCACTATGAATTTATGGTACTTCCATTTGGACTCACTAACACACCTTCCTCTTTTCAATCATTGATGAATGATGTTTTGCGGCCAGTACTCCAAAAATACGCTCTAGTATTCTTCGATGATATCCTAATATACAACCCTTCCATGGAAGAACACAGGCAACACCTACAAAATGTATTGACATTACTACAACAAAGTGAATTGAAGATCAATGGTAAGAAATGTTCATTCAGCCAAACAAATTTGAAATACCTAAGACATGTTATTTTTGCAGGAGGAGCATCCGCAAATCCTAAGAAGTTGGGCGCAATAACACTATGGCCTAGCCCCAAGAATGTCACTAGCTTAAGGGGATTCTTAGGTCAAGTTATTATAGGAGGTTTGTCTATAATTATGGAAGAATAGCAAGGTCATTAACCAACTTGCTAAAGAAAAATGCCTTCTAATGGAGTCCAGAGGCGCAAATTTCCTTTCAACAACTTAAACAAGCCATGACCAGATTACCTACATTAACAGTTCCTAACTTTTCAAAGCCTTTTATGGTTGAAGTTGATACTTGCAAAACTGGATTAGGGGTTGTTCTAATACAAGAAGGAAGACCCCTAGCCTTTTAGAGCATTACTCGCTCCGAAAGGAGCCAGAGGAAATCAGTATATGAACATGAATTGATGTCAGTTGTGAAAGCAGTCCAAAAATGGTGACACTACCTGTTGGGAAGCCATTTTATTATTCAAATTGACCAAAAAAGTTTGAAATTTTTTATAGATCAAAAGAAACTAGGCGAGGAACAATACAAATGGATTTCCAAATTAGCAGGATACGATTTTGAAATCAGGGAAGGAAAACTCTGCTACCGATGCGTTTTCCAAGAGAAGTTCTTATTATGCCATGTCATTCTTACAAATTCATGATTTTGAGGAATGGGCTGAAAAGATCAAACAAGTTGACAAATAACAAAAAATCATGCAAGACCTAATTATTGATCCCATATCTCTTATGGATTATACTTTGAGGGATCAAACGTTATTTTACAAGGAGATATTGGTGCTATCCAAATCTTCCTCCAGGATTCCAATCATTTTAAAAAAATTTCATTCATTCTTGGTAGGAGGACATTCGGGTACCTTCATGACTTACAAAAGAATAGCAAGTCGGGTGTATTAGGAAGGGATGAAAACTTACATCAAGAATTTCGTTGTAGCTTGAGAAGTTTGTAAAAGAAACAAAAGTGAAAACTTATCCCTAACAGGACTGCTACAACCATTACCAATCCCCACTCAAGTATGGATAAATATTTCTATGGATTTTATTGGAGGACTACCCAAATACATGGGGAAGGATACAATCCTTGTGGTGGTTGACCGACTCACTAAATATGTCCACTTCATACCATTAGGGCAACCCTACACTACTATTGAAGTTGTTGTAGTATTTCTACAAGAAATTGTGAGATTGCATGGATTTTCATTTTCCATTGTTTCAAATTGTAACCCTCTATTTTTAAGCAATTTCTGAAAAACCCTTTTTAAAGCAGTAGGTACACGACTAAAGTTCAGTTCAGCATACCATCCCCAAACAAACAGACAAATGGAAGTTGTCAACCGATGTTTGGAAGTTTATTTGTGATGCTTAACTGGAACAAAGCCTAAAAAATGAGTCTCTTGTCTTCCTTGGGCCGAATTCTGGTTTAACACCAATTATAATGCTTCCAGCAAAATGTTCCCTTTCAAAGTTTTGTATGGACATGATCCCCCTCACATTCTTAAGGGAACCACCAGTCCTTCTAGCCTTGAAGAAGTCAACAAGCTTACAATTGCTCGAGATGAATTATTGGCTACTCTAAGAGAGAATTTGCTAAAATCGCAAGATGTCATGCAAACAAATGCCAACAAATGCCGACGTGATATAGAATATGCATTCAGTCATTGGGTGTTCTTGAAGATGCAACCTTACTGAAGAAGGTCCTTAACTAAAAGGATTAATTAAAAACACTCCCCTTGATTTTATGGTCCTTTGCCAGTGTTAAAAAAATTGGGTGTTGTTGCTTACATATTGGATCTTCCATCTCATAGTAAATTCATCCAGTCTTTCATGTCTCTCTCCTTAAGAAGGACATTTGGTGATTCTTTCTAGTCCCAATATTTACCACCTATGTTATCTGAGAATCAAGAATTACAAGTTTATCTAGACTTTGTTTTAGATATTCGTGAACTACAACCTGGCAACATGGAAGTCTTAATTCAATGGTAGAATCTCCATCCAAGTGAAAATAGTTGGGAATTGGTGGCTAAAATACAAGAGGTTTTTTCAACTTATCATCTTGAGGTTAGTCTTTAGGCGGGGTATTGATAAGAATAAACCACCTATCATAAGATATACACCGGCAAGAGACGAACAAAAGAAGCAACAATCCTAGACCATCAGCAAAAGAGCACACAACACTTAGAGGATGCAAAACACCCAACCGTTACAAGCCATCTAAGGGGTGTAAAGTCAAGGGATGTGAATCAAGGGACATAACCCTTGGAATAGAGATACAACCATTAGGAAAAGTTATATCAATTAGGAACGGTTGTTAGAAGCAATATAAATAGAAGTAATCCAAATTAGGAAAGACGAAGGAATTGTATTGTGGAGAGATAGACTCTCGAAAACCTGTGTTATAAAATATCTCAAAATTATCTTTATAAATTTTATACATTTTTCTAATCCTGTCCAGTTCTTTTCTATCCTTATCAATTACGTACTAATGGCATGTTGACTTTATCGGCTAGTCCTAGAGGATATAATTTTCCCACTCATTCTCTTTATGAAGATGATATTATGCTATATTGTAGGGGTAATAATAGAAACCTACAAAATTGATATCCGTAGGCAAATTTCCAGGTTGTTGGTTCCTCGAAATGATATGGCTAACTCCATTAAATGGATGAACATGATGGTCATTTGATTGCCGAAGTTGCATATCAATTTGTACGGTGTTTCCTTGAGTTTGGCTAAGCTTCTTTGGCATCTTATTATTCTTCCTTTACAATCAACAATCTATGGAGATTAATACATGACAAACTTCCTACTCATGATAACCTGAGAAAAGAAGGAATTAACATTGTTTCTATTTGTTGTAATTGTCATCAACATGCTATCAATTATTTCTATAGTGGCCCTTGGCTCTTAAACTCTAGACTTGGTTAAGTAGTTTGTTGACTATCAATATTGATTAATCTTCAACTGAATCTATCCTTTTTGCCTTGCATAGTCATTGTAATGATCAACTTAAAGTTGTGTTGATTGCAACCATTGTACATATAATTGGAGATTTGATATAATAGAAACTTAATAAGATTTGAGAATGCTTGTTGATCTAATGACAACTTGGAAATCGAATTGTATAGTCAACTCGCAAAATTGGACATGTCTATAAATTTACTCACTAGATATAAATCAACTTGTTTGTAAACTCATTTTTATTGTAAACTAGGAATAAACTTGAGCAAACTCAATTAACTTGGTGTAGACTCAGTTAACTTGCAATAGACATGGTTAACTTGTTATTTGATGTTGTTTGAACTTATATAATAGTCATGGAGTACAAAACTTAGTTATTTAGTATTGTGGAATTATTGTTTACTATTTTCTTAATTATGGTGTTGAAATATTGAATTGGTATATTCTCTACATATATTATATTCATTTTTCATATGAAATAGACTCCTACTAATCTGTAAGTTGAGTCCACAAGTTTAGGCTAAGAAGCTCCTACCAGTCTACAAAGACTCTCAAGTATGATAGATAACCATGTATTACAAAATGAAGAATGTTATTTATACCTATGTTAACATAGCGCTCACTCAATGCAATGGTTGTAGGCATTCTACTATTAATGAATTTGTTATTCTTATAGATTTTTTTCGTTACTGATCATCCCAAGAAAGCAATGGATTAATCAAAGTCAATTGGGAACCTCCTAATTGTGGATGGGTCAAATGGAACACGAATGGTGTTACAGTTAGGGAGGATTCTTTGAAGGCAACTTCTAGTGGAACCTTTCATGATTATAGAGCATCTTTTCATGGAATGACTTTGGAAGTAGAACTTCTTGCCATTATGAATGCTATTGAATTGGCTCATCAAAAGTTATAGTTTCGTTTGTGGATTGAGCGTGATAGTACTAGTGCTATTCAAGCATTTATAGTGTCATATATCATTTCTTGGAAGCTTTTAAATAGGTGGTTAAATTGTATGGATCTTCTTAAGATGAGATAGTATCTCATGTATATATATATATAGGTGTGCAGATACACTTGCGGAACAGGCATAATACGTCAATGGAATTGTTGGTGGGATGTAATGCCTTCGTTACTTACTTTAGAATTTTTTTAGGGATAGAGATATCATTTGCCTTTTTTAAAGTTTGTTTAGTTTTTTAATTAATGGTTTTGGTTTGGTCCCATCTTGTATTTTCTTTTACTTTTCAATATTGTATAAGCAATGTTGCAGATGATTGACACTGATTGGAGTGCTAACCTAGTTAAGATTGCAATCAGAATAGTGATGAATTAACATTCATACTATATCATAAACTGTTAAGCTTTCCCCTCTCTCTTCAAATTCTATCCCACAAACTGTCCTGTTTTTCTAATCTTGTTTGTGTCTGAAAACAACTCTAACTCATTAATGACATAAAGCAACAAATCTGTAGCTGAATGTCTATACCCTAAATGCGTAAACTGTCCTGTTTTTCCTTCTCTCTAAATTTCTCTTAACACATGGAGCATATAACAAACGGAACCACATGCTAACACATTAAAAAAATGACATTTAGTAATTTTTACACAAGTGAAGCCAAATAAATAACAACTTCTACATGATAAATCTAAAATAAGTGGAATACCAGATCATAACCATCATAACCATCACATTTTACAGCCACGTCAAGCAAGATGTTATCATCACATTGCAAGTGACGCCTTTGTATTTCATGCTTCAACATAGCCCTGCGTTCAGAGGCTGCAGGAGCAGGCAGCTTTATGTGAAAGTCAAACCGTCCTAATAAAAAGTGAATCATGAAATTAGCTGCCCGATGATGAGAAATAAATTGCATATAGAAAATGAAAGAAAATGGTCAATATTCTTTTCAAATTTGACTATAATGTGATAAATATATTACATACAAAAATAGACAACCTGAAGAGCTAAGAGATTGTGGTATCTTCTCTAGGGATTGTATGGAAGCTATGAAGGCTATTGGTCCCAAGCCACATGATTTTTGCCTCTTCTCCTGTTCAGTATGCCAAGAAGGCAATAGACTCAAAATGATATTTGGGAAAGAAAAATATATACTAAATTGATTGAGCAACAAACTAAAGATCTTAATCATTTGAGATTTTTTAAGTATGTGCTTCAATTACTCATTAGTTCTCACAAAGATGGTGTTTATCTCTACTACGAGTAGAATAACTCTAATTTTATTCAAGAGTGTCTTGATGAAGAAAGTATTTTGTATTAAGTATTGTATACACTTTTAATTACAAATAAGTAGGAAATATTTTGAGAAAATAAGAGGACAATAAAAAAGCAAATGGCAATGTATACAATTGTAAATAATAAATATTTTTGAAAATATTTCGAAGATCCATACTTGATTGTTTTCCTTATTTTCTTATTTATTAAAGTTTCCTCATTTCCCCTTTCAGGGACAATTGTTCATGTACAGCACAATGTTCCAGTTAAGGAGAAGGTTTGGCGACTTTATTATAGGAAGAATAAAAATAGCATTAAGCTTGCTTTGTACAAGTTGAGTGATACATACAATAGTAAGCCTTTTCTATTATAAAATATATATAAATAAACTTTTTGTTTGTTTTCATCTTGGAATATAGTTTGCAGCGATTGGGTTATCCAGTTTGAAAGAAGACACAACTCCTTTGAGTAATTTATTTTCTTTTCTTTATCCTTGAGAATCCTAACAATTGGTCTTACTAGATTTACAAATTGTGTGATGCAGAGTAGAGTGGGAGCTTTAAAAAAAATGGGCTAGCAGACATGAAAAAATTATGGTATATGTGATAACTAACCTAGCTCTAGTTAAGGAAACCTTGTTTGACATGAGACAAATCAATGATTTACCTCTTAAATTCAACAAAGAAGAGAGTGTGGAAGAGGAGAACACAGAAGGGATTGGGTCTAGTGAGGACATTGAGGAGCCATTATGTCATTGGTTGAAAAAAGTGAAACTACCCACTTTTGAGGGGGCTAACTCACTACGACAGATAGCAAGGACATAGAATTTAATTTAAGTGCATAAAGTCAAATATTTAAAGAAATTACGCTTAGCTTTAATTAGCATGGAAAGAAATACAGTTCATTGATTCAAAATTTGGAGTGGGTTGAGAAGAAAGGCCAAAAACTTAACAATTCAATCTTGGATGAAATTATAAGTACTACCACCATCAACTAGCACAGAGACTTAGTGATGGGCCATTAAGCCCAGGAAGCGCAAAGCTTGAGGGATTGAGTGGCCTAAAATGGCGTTAAAACTAATTTGGACAGCCTTTGTGTCAGCTCTAAGTTTTTCAATAATCAACCATTGAGGTAGAGAATTCAGGAAAGGATGAGTCACCCGATTCATTGTCAGAGATAAGGAGAAAGAATCGTGCCTTATACCAATGAGTTGGAGTGAACTTGTCGTTACAATGATAGTAAAAGTCTTTTTCTCGACGGTCAGCAATTTTTGCAACAGAGGTTCTTGTAACGAGTGTGATGTGGGAGAGTGAGTGGCGCAGAAGTAGTGGATGATTAGTAAGGGAGGGGATCAAGGTCACAGGTGTGGAAGGTTTACCACGAAATGTCTTGCGTCTATCTTCAAGTTTATCCTCTTGGAAGTTTTGCTAGAGCCACATCTTGAGGGAGAGTAATAGGTTGAAGGGCTTGGACCTCACTGTGGATCTTTGGGTCGAGGCTAGAGATAAAACAAATCAATAAAAATTGATGAAGCAGCCCAACGATGTGGTTTGCTAATCTCTCAAATTCGGTGAGGTAAGAGTTATTTGTACCTTGTTGCCTGAGTTTGAATAGGGATCCACGAGGGTCATCATAATAGGAAGGAGCAAAACGTGTTTCAAGGGCTTGAAGAAGCCCAGGCCATGACTGGATAAGACCATTGTGGTACATCCACTAGTACCAACTTAGTGTTGGACTGTCCATGTAAAAGGAGGCAACGGATAACCTTTCAGAATCTGGGGTGCCATGATAATAAAAAATCTAGGTCATTTTGAAAATTCACCCCATCGGGTTGGATCCATCAAAGCAGAGAACATCATGTTTCATATATGGTTTTGTAGTTTTTGGGTTGATGAGTGGGTGTAAAGTTCGTGGTAAGGGTAGCATGGTGGGAAAGGATGGAGTCAATTTTAGAGGCGAGTTCAGATTGAGTAGAAGAAAGTGATTGGACAATTTATTCTAATTGCTCAATGGATTTAGCACATGTATTTATGGTCACCCATGGGGGTAAAGCTCAACGAAAGCATCAAATTGATAAGTACACAAACAATGCTAGGAATTGAAAGGGTTGGGCAACATCCTAAATAAAAGGAAGACAATTAATTATGAATCTTCTCTACTTTTCATTCATGACTCATGTTATATATAGTGCAAGGCACAATACACTATTGGTTGTTCGCAAAAGGTGGAACAGAATAACAATTGCAAATCAGAATCAAGTAAGAATGATATCTAGTAACAGATTGGTTTGTCTCCAGTCCTTTTGGGTCGGACTTTAGTGTAAGAAGACAATTCCTCTGCTATCCCTATTATCTCTGTATTCATAGGGGTTATATTGTCATAGTTATAGTTGCTAGCCTTCTTTAAATGGACTTTCTATTTGTTTTAGTGGGATCATCATGGAATATTAGTTCGTGGTGACTGGGTTACCCAATGTGAAAGGAGACAACTCCTTTGTGTAATATGTTTGCTTTTTGGTTCAATGATAATTTTAAGTGTGAACCTTTTTCTGTAGTCTTTCTTTTCTTGATCCCTGAGAACCCAAACAGTTCCCCTATAATAGGAAGACTGAATCATGTAAATTATGTGACAAATGTTAATAAAATCACCATTCCTTCTCAACTTACACTCTCAAAGGTAACAAGAAATGGGAGAGTAAAAGGAAATGCACCCACAAAGTAAAGCTATGAAATCTTGTGGCTCATTGCCAAAGATAGCCCCATGAAAAAGCAATTAGCTAAACATGATAGTGATACCAATAAGACATAATCATGCACCTGCCATGTAGATAGTTCTTAGTGCATGTGTGTAGCAGAAAAGGAAAGTTCGGTCCAAATATTGAAGGGCTGTTGCTTAAAAAAACATGACAGAAAAGGACAATAGGTTGTAACAGAAGGATACAAAAGGACAGACAGACTCTGAAAAATTAGATTAAATGAAATCTTATTTTATTATATTAATACAAAGAGATGATACAAGATATATTCAGGAGACCTAAACTATTTTAGGAAATATAATAACTCTATTTTATTTTAGGATCCCTTGATTTATGGGATTGTTTCTAATTGTTCAAATCTGTACAGATTACAAATTTCCTAATTTATTCTTTCCTAAAATACTATTTGATTTCCCACACTCCCCCTCAAGCTGGTGAATAGGTGTTTTCCATTCCCAGCTTGGATACAATCTTCTCAAAATTGTGGCAGCTCAGTCCCTTAGTAAGAATGTCTGCAATTTGGTCTTGAGAAGACACATATGGAGTGCATATCAAGCCACTATCAAGCTTTTCTTTGATGAAGTGTTTGTCTACTTCAATATGCTTTGTTCTATCATGCTGCACTAGGTTGTGGGCTATGCTGATTGCTGACTTATTATCACAATAGAGCTTCATAGGTTCTTCCCATTTTATCCTCAAGTCTTCTAAGATGATTTTAAGTCATAGCAACTCACATATACCTTGTGCCATGGCTCGGAATTCCGTTTCAGCACTGGACCGAGCCACTACACCCTGCTTTTTGCTTCTCCAAGTCACAAGATTTCCTCCAAGAAAGGTGCAATATCCTGTAGTTGACCTCCTATCCACAATTGACCCTACATAATCAGCATCAGTATAGGCTTCAAGTTTCACATTACCATTCCTTTTGAATAGAATCCCTCTTCCTGAAGTTCCTTTAAGGTACTGTAAAATTTTGTGGGCTGCTTGTAAATGGGTCTCCTTTGGGTTATGCATAAATTGGCTAATTAAACTCCCTACATAGGCAATATTTGGTCTGGTATGTGACAAATATATAAGTCTGTCCACTAATCGCTAGTACATATTTTTTTTAACAACAACATCTTCTGCATTTCCAAGCTTTAGGTTTGGTTCTAATGGGGTACTAGCAGGTTTGCAAGCTGCCTTGCCAGTTTCCTTGAGCAAATCAGTGATGTATTTCTACTGGGATATAAATATCCCTTTCTTGGAGTGGACAACTTCAATTCCCAAAAAATATTTTAGTTTTCCCAAGGTCTTGATCTCAAATTTCTTGCCTATGCATTGACTCAACAATTGTTGCTCTTCTTTATTATCTCCAGTTAATATTATGTCATCACATAAACCAATAATATTGTTACTCCCCCTGACTTGGAATGTTTAAAGAACAAAGAATGGTCCCTTTGGCTTTGTTTGTAACCCAGACCTGTCATAACTTTAGTCAACCTGCCAAACCATGCACCGGAGGACTGTTTTACCCCATATAATGCATTTTTCAACTTGCAAACAATGTTGGCAACAACATCTCTACCATATCCCGGAGGTATCTCCATATAAATTTCTTCTTCAAGGTCTCCATGTAGGAAAACATTCTTAACATCAAATTGTTTCAAGTTCCAACCATAATTGGCAACAAGGGACAATATCACCCTAATTGTGTTCATTTTGGCAACCGGAGCAAAGGTCTCCAAATAATAAACTCCATAGGTTTGGGTGAACCCTTTGGCAACTAGTCTTACCTTATATCTCTCAATTGATCCATCAGCCTTGTATTTCACTGTATAGATCCACCTACATCCAACTTGCCTCTTTCCTATTAGTAAGGTGACTAACTCCCAGGTGTTGTTCTTCTCCAATGCCTCCATCTCTACATCCATGGCTTGTCTCCATTTTCTGTCAAACAATGCCTCAGATATGGTATTAGGTAGAAGTGTAGTGTTTAGGTTTACTAGGAAGGTTTTATGGGTAGGAGAGAAATTTTTAAAGGATAGATAATTTGAGAGAAGGTAGAGTGGCTGTTTGGTGCATTTTCTTGTCCCTTTCCTAATGGCAATTGGGAGGTCAGGATCATTTTGAGTTTCAATTTCAACCTGCACAACTGGAGAAAAAATTGTTACCTCTTTTTGTGGAGTCGAGTTGGATTCTTGAACATGGCTTGATCCTAGAATGGCCTTAGTCTTCCTTGAGTACACTAGTTTCTTACCAAATTTTCCAGCTTCAACATCTCCTTGATCAGCTTCACAATTAATTTCACTTTCTTGACCAACTTCCTTTTCTTGACCAATTCCTTGACTTGTTTCACTTGTTACAACTTCAATTTGATCTCGTTTAGGTTCAAATATCAAGTCTGGAAGAATGGGAAAACCAGAATTACTATTTTCCTTATCTTCCTTATCTTCCCTGAAACTCTCCCTCTAAAGATAAGGTTGATGGAAATAGCCTTCTTCACAAAGAATTTTTTGGATGGGGGTGATAGCATTTATACCCTTTCTGAGTGGGTGAGTAACCAACAAAGACACACTTTAAGGCTCTAGGATCAAGTTTCCCCCTGTCTGTACTATGAATATGGACATATGAGATGCACCCAAAAACTCTTGGTTTAAGATTATTTGTAGTGGACAGGTTTGGATAGAAAGACGACAAAACTTCCATAGGGTTTTTTGATCCTAAGACTCTAGAGGGTAGTCTATTGATAAGGTATGTTGCTGTAAGGACAGCTTCCCCCTAGAAATTTTTTAGGACACTTTTTTGGAACAACAATGCCCGAGTCTGATTTAATAGATGTCCATTTTTCCTCTCTGCGACCCCATTCTGTTGTGGTGTTTTGACACAAGAGGACTCATGAATTATACCTTCTTTTTGAAAAAAAGAATTAAGGACATGATTGAAGTAATCTTTGGCATTATCTGACCTAAGCCTCTTAATATTAACACCAAACTGATTTTTTATCAAGGAGTGGAAGTTTAGGAAGACAGAACTGACTTCTGATTTTTGTTTAAGTAGGAAAACCCTTGTTCAGTCATTTATAAAGGTGACAAACCATCGAGCACCAGACACATTTGAAACATTAGAAGGTCCCCATACATCAGTATGAAAAAGGTAAAAAGGGAAATTGCTAATTCTATTACTTATTGGAAAAGATACATGCTTGTGCTTAGCAAGTTCACACACCTCACAATAAAGACTCTCAACATCTAACTTGGTAAATAGAGAGGGAAACATAATTTTGATCACTTTAAAAGAGGGATGTCCCAACCGACAATGATAAAGCATGATTTTTTCTCTGTTGGTCATCAAGGATTCAGATATGAAGGAGTGAGAGATTCTGTTCTTGTTGGACAGACTTGGATCTTCGAGATAATAAAGGTCATTTCATTCTCTAGCATGTCCAATCATCCTCCCCGAATCTTTGTCCTGAAATACACAATGATCGTTGAAAAAAACAACTTTACATGACAAATCCTTTATAAGTTTTTGTATAGAGACTAAGTTGATGGACAGTTTCGGGACGTGGAAAACATCTTTTAAGGTTATTAAAGGATTGATTTGGATATTTCTTTGCTACAGTTATAAGGGTTCCATCTGCTGTGACAATTTTCTTGTTGCTGGGACATGGGGAATATGTGGAGAAGTGTTTGGCTAATGGTGTCATGTGGTCTGTGGCTCTAGAGTCCAATATCCAATAATGGTTAAAAGGTGTATCTGAGACATTTAATCCAAAAGAAAATGGAAACTTACCTGAGTATGCTAAAGAACACACACCTGTAGGTTTTTCCAGCTTACTAGGAAAAGTTCTCACCCTTTCTATCTCCTCTTGGTTAAGATGGGCAGCAACTTCTAGATTATTTCCTTCATTTGTTTTAGCACATTTCCTTAAAGAGCCTCCTCTGTGTCCCCCTTCTCAATCTCGATTTAAAGGCTTCCTATGTAACTTCCAGCACTTCTCTCGGGTATAATGAGGCTTATTGCAGTAGGTACACCAGAGACCATCACCTTTCTTCTCCATATTTGCTGATCCTCCTTTCTTCTGTTCAGCTACCCCCTTTCTATTCAACACTGTACGAAAAAATTGGGCCCACTTCAAATAATTTCTTCCATTTAGTCTATATGCAGAATGAATATTCTGCAGTTCTCCAGATTGCTAGGATTGGGTATTCCCTGTTTCTGGGGTTGGGTTCACAACTTCCTCTTCCCTTGACATTATAGCACGAAGGTGCGATGCAGCAGCAATGCAGGCGGCTGCCGTCTTAGGGTTAAGAAAAATATAGCAGCAATGCAGGATGTCGTCTTAGGGTTAAGAAAAATACAGTAGCAATACAGGCTGTCATCTTAGGGTTTATAGTGCGCAGACAAAACTTCCTATATCGGAAGCTCTGATACCATTTGGAAAATTAGATTAAATGAAATCTTATTTTATTATATTAATACAAAGAGATGATACAAGATATATACAAGAGACCTAAACTATTTTAGGAAATATAATAACTCTATTTTATTTTAGGATCCCTTGATTTATGGGATTGTTTTTAATTATTCAAATCTGTACAGATTACAAATTTCCTAATTTATTCTTTCCTAAAATATTATTTGATTTCCCACAAAGACCATTAGATAAAATAGAGGGAGAGAGAAAGGAGGGTGGCAAAATTTGGTGGTGGTACAGGGTACGACTGCACCAGGTTGGAAAAGGTCTAGGTTTTATTTGTTTTATATTAGTTCTCTGTTTTCAGTGCCATTTCTTCAGTGGTAAGGAGCTTAGCTCCAATTTTCTCCGATAATCCATTTTGTTAGTTCAATCACTTCTTCTATAAGGTAATAAAGCAACATAAATTCTTCCTGGACACGTTGCAAAGGGAAATATAAGCTTGATAGAGCTTGGGTTGTATATTATATTGCCAAAGCTTAAATATTGCATAAGCTCTGGCTATTATGCGTACACTAACAAATGGTATAATATCTATTAGAATACATTAGGATCTTCTTTTAGTGGGTTCTTGTACAGTTACTATTAGTAGACTAAATTGCAAGTATAAATTTTAGGATTAGGTTAGGAACCTAAGGCTGTTATACCTAATCCCTATAATCATCCTTCTTTCATTCTTCCCCTTTTGAAGTCAGACTCTGCATGCATCCACCAAAGATCATGTAAAACACTCAGGGACTCGTATTTGCTGCAGTTCAGCTGTTCAGATGACATGGAGGTGGTTGGTCAGTGATTTCAGCCAATGATGTGAAAATGTCATGCGGTGCCTATGGTGGATGGTGGTGGCAGTAGAAACACTCTGTTTGTTGGATATATTTGCTTTTTTGCACCTGTTTTGATTTCAGCCTTCTTGAAGGTTGCACCAGGTTTGAGGACACATTTGGAGTGCCTAGTACCTCAGACCGGAGGTGAGTTGATCTTGATGGTAACTCAACAGGTAAACCTCTGGCAAGGTCAATGACCTTCCTTATTTCTCTTTCATTTTGGTATTTCATAGTTCAGCATCCTCTCAAATGAGTTTCTGCCTTTTCTTCTTCTTGTCTGCACTGTAGCAGGATGGTTCCACATCAGAACCGATTTTCCTTTCCTTTCTACCTCTCTTCTCAGTAATAACTCCTTAATCTGTGTGACAACATCATCTGTTTCGCCCCATTGATTGCTGCTCTACCTCTGTTGTGCGTCTGAGTCCGTGACAAGATTATTTACCATTTATTTTCATGTTCTCCAAACACTTTCCCACCAAGATATCTCATCTCCTCATATCCTCCTTTTCTGTCTGTCTTCCTCTCCCCATTAATGAGTTTTTTTTTTATTAAAAAATGAAAACTAATTGAACTAACCTATTATAACTTCTGCCAAAAAAAAGCCTATTGATGACTAAAAGAGGGGGCTAATGGATATCGGGATCCACACTTCAAAAAGCCATAATTCGCATCAGTATTTTGACATGCAGTTGTTACAAGGAACAATAATATACATAACATTTGAGAGAAACAGCATTAAGTAAAAATTAACGCATACTTACCCCATATTCATCCATGATGTCAACCAGAAAATCTGTGAGTCCAGCAACAGATATTGACGGTTGAGATTCGGAGTCAGGGGAAGAAATTATGCTATCAAGATCATCAAAGATGACAATAGAAGGAGCATGGTTTAAAGCTTCAGTTACATGGTTTGCAAGTCTTTGGCGAATAACTGGGACCTTCTCCAGGGAAAGTTTTGAGCAGGAAATAAAAATTCTGTATAACATTTAAAACTAAAATTATTAAATCTAAACAGGATCAATTGAAAATATACGATAATTGGAAAATCCTAAAGGTACAACTAAATTATAATTAATATTAATACATGTGTGCTAAGATGTCCTCACGATTCTCAAGGGATTTTGCCACAGTTCTTGCTAATATAGTTTTCCCAGAGCCCTGGGAAAAAAATATTTAAATGTCAAATGAATTGATAATTCACTGGCCAGATTTAAGAAAGAATCATTAAGCATAATATGAAATCTTAATATGAACAGTCAGCATAACTGACTGCGGTTAGTTAGTTAGTTAGTTAGTTACAACAGATACTAAACTGATTAAATCTAAACTATTCTCTGCACTATCACTTTCCTCTACTTTATCAGAGATAAATTACACAACAACAAAAACTCCTTTGTATGTTTTCCAGTTTAGCTTTTATTGTTATTAAGTAATTACTCCTTAAGAACTTTTACTCGCTACAGCATCTTTAATCAGTCAAGTATCAATATATCCTAAATTGAAAATACATTTTAGCCAAAAGTTAGAGCGAGGTATGAAAGTGAAAATAGAGGAGTAGGAGAAGAATAGACCTTGGGTGTATACAGTAAATTATTAAGCAGGTAGGTCAGCAAAATTGTACAAGGTATGGTTGGTAGCAAAGGGGTATTTCTACTAATACAATCAACTACCTACAGGCTTTTTCTATGTTAAACCATCCAGTAATCTATAGTTTACTAATAGCATGTACGTTTTACATTAAACTTAATAAAGTTTAAGTTGTACTCACAGGTGGTCCATATATCAGAACATGTCCAGGTAGTGGTAAGTTGTGTGAGCCAAACCACAAACCAGATGCAGAACATAACAATATCAACATCCCTGCAGTCAACAAAAGCAGCAAGTTAAGTATCACTAAAGGGTATCCCAGTGCCAAAAAATACCAATTGGTATTTAGGTGAGTAAAATTCAAATTAATGGGTAGCAGCATCAAAAGGAAAACAGATGAATCCAGCATACCTCAAACATAATTCTAACAAACCTTTGAATGGGTCATCCATATTAACAGCCCAAAATAACTCATCAGACAAAAAGAGGGAATCTTAAGCAACAAATAAATTCACCAGATAAAACAGGTATAACAGAATCAACTAAAAGCCATTGGACTCAATTAAAAACCAAATTCTCAGGGATTATTCACGTAATATCTCTCTCAACAATTTCCTCTAATATCCTTCCTAACCAGCAATATCAACATATGCACAGGTTATGGTCAAGTTTAATTTTTATGTAAGAACATTTTTTGTATCCTGTATTGCCAAGGGTTATATCTTCGTACATATCATTTGGACATTTTCCTACTCGGCTTGGTACATCTATTAACAATAATGATAATGAAGAATTATTTAAGATTTTATTTGAAAATAATGATCATGAGAACAACCAATTGAAAAAGTAACAGACATTTCACCTCAGCACCCAAAAAAGACTTACTATTGATAACATCATCTGCAGTTTTCTCCATCCAGCCAAGGGAAGATAGATTTGAACTAATCTGGTCTTCAGAGGTTCTCTCTTCTATAGAAAGAAAAGACACAGGATCACACAATTTCATCCTTTCGAAAAACTTCAGGTCCACAATATTAATGTTATCAAGTCCTCCACCAAGAGCAACTTCATATGCACTAAGTTTCCCATTATGCAGATATTCTTCATCAAAGGTCAATAAAAACAACATTTCAGTTGCCTTGCCATTGTTCTCTGAAGGATTGTAGGCCAACTGAACCTTCCCATTACTCCCAAGCTTGTAACAGCTTACTTCAAAATGAAGCAATGTTTTATTTCCCATAATCAATGAACTAACCTCCATACCCGAAATGGAAGTAATTGCCTTAAGTTGTGTGATATACCATAGTTGTACAAGACTCTGTAATCCCCTTTGATTCTGAGATTGATTTGTGGTCTCTTCCTCTGCTTTGTAATTGGATTCATCAACGAGAGCTGCTAAAACTTCATTTTGGATTGACCAATCTATAGTATCAACAAAGACACCTGATGTAGCTTTTGCTTGGACTTTTTTATCAATGTGATTATTGTGGCCATGAGAAACTTCTAGACCATCTTTCTCAACAGCATTCTTGCGCCTTATTAGTTTGAATTGGCATGGAAAAAGAGAGGTAGAAGGAATATTTTTTTCCAAAATAATATTGTATGCCTTCAAATAAACCCCTACGCAATCACAAAAGCAATATTCTTGTTAAAATCAGATATTAAAATTGAAGGACAGATAAATTTTCAACTGAAATATACATTGACACCAAAAGAGAGTAAAAATTCTATCTCCATGAGATAGTAAGTTAATACCATTGGAAAATCTAGAATTAAACTCTTCCTTTGACCAACAAATCCACCAAGGAACAAACCTTCATAAACCCTTCCAGTCTAATTTCTTCGAATATTTTAAGTTTATAGGGCAAACCCACGGTTTTTCAAACTAAAAGAAGAGTTTATTCCCTAATTGGGCTGATGGGGTAAAACTGTCAACCTGACAGACCTAGCCTGTTTTACCATCCTAATACGTTGACAACCTTTTTTTCACTTACAACCATTTGAAAAGTCTATTATATAATAAAATAATAATAATAATAATAATAATATCCTTTTATACTAAATTTAATTATTATATTATTATAAGAGGGTTTTTAGGTGGTTGCATGTAGAAAAGTGGTTATCAATATATCATTACTCATAATATTTGCTGTGTGCAATATTCCACACAAGTAAATTTATGAGAATATATATACAATTAATTGAAAATACAATGTATTTTTTTTCTTTCATATATACTATCAGGAATGTTGCAGATGAATGATCTATAGTGCTAACCTAGTTTTGATTATACCCTGTATAGTGATGTTATAGCTAGCATTTTTTCTTCAAAAGAATAAAAGATAGTAAAAGACAATGGGTCAGGTAAGATGGATTAGGACAACTTGACATACATGAATGTAGGCTAGCTCTCAAATAAAGGCGAAGAGACTTAGCTACCATCACGTGTCCTTCAGCCACGGATTCTGAAACCATCAGCTGAACAATTGCTTGTCGATATTCTGTCTTGTCAGTATATACATTCTCAACTTCATTAGTAGCTGAACCACTTCCGGTTTTCATAATATTTGTTTTGGAAATATTAACATTCTCCTGGGATGTTCTGGGTACTATCAAAACCAACTGAAGCATGTTGAATGAGTATTTTTTGGCTGTTTCTGGATGAACAAAAGCAACAGACGTAAGCCCTACATGAAGCTCAACTCCTTTAACATGAGTACTGGTACTACATAATCCATTTGGATCTTGTAATCGAAGCAGCATCTTAGCAGTATGCTCTTTATCTACTGAATCCAAACTCTTTTTGCGTATTTTTGGAGCAACAGCAACTTTAGTATCTTGCATTAGTTGTACTGAAAAAAGTCTCACGTGTTAGACCAATAATCAAAAGAAACTTGTTTACACTAGAACAGTAAGAATCTACTGAAGAGGAGAATAATAAATAATTATGTATAATACCACCTTTCTCACCTACCCCAAACATATATCCTCCAATTTAATAATATTTTAAATGTCAACTCATGTTATATACTACTACTGAAAAAAAATATCAATGGGAGAAATATAAGTACCAAGTTAAGTACATATTTCCCCTATGATTTAATATTAAGTGCAAATACAACTAACAAGATTAAATCATTAAATGTAAGGTTTAGAAACCATTTATGACAGTTTCATAGCAAGGCAACTCATCCACACAAACACAAAATGATGCATTGATAATAAATTATCCAAGTGTTTGATAGAAGTAGTAAAATCACTGAATCTATAAATTCATAAGCGAACTACTTTATATAAAATATAAATTATATGACCAGCACCATTCATGAATGCAAAAATGCTGCCCAATTCCTATACATATTTGGGATAGTAGTTCTCTCCAAGTAGCATTAGAAGCACACAAAATAGCGTCTAACACACATGATGTTTAAACTCAAATCAATACACTTGATTTCTGATGAAAGAAAAAAAATCCCTGATTACTATGAACACAGTTTGCACTTCTATTTTTCCATCTTTGATAACTACATCTCTATCATGTTTCTCACAATAGTTCGAAAGGGGATTAAGTTACATACACATAACAAGAAAGCAAAAAAATAAAGTGTCATTAATGATCATTGCGGCTTAAACCAACCATGGGATGATGAACCAAATAACTATACAGACAGAAATAGGCATCATCTTACCCACCACATTCTTCGGAAAAACAGAAGCCACTTGGAATGTGATGACAGTATGACCATGCAACCACAAAGGAAATCTCATCCCTTCATAGACAATTCTTACCTGCATCAAGTAACCCACATCATTATATAAATGTACCATACACAGGCTAAATATATTCATTTCTTCTCAAACTGATTGATTTTCATTTCTTAGAGCCGGTAGAAAAGGGAAGGCCAAAGAGTAAAGTAGTTTAAATAATAGAAAATATAGTATTTAGACCTGAGATAAAGGATTGAAAATTAAAAATAAAAATAAAAATAAAATTTTTTTGAAAGAGAATAAAGAAGAGTGATGATACACAGGCACCTATTATTTCTCTCTGTCTCTCATTCTATCACATGATACACCCATCATGCCTACTCTCTCTCTCTCTCTCTAGATGTTAGAATAGCATTTAGTGTCCACTTATCTTCTTCCAAAGAAGAAAGGGAGTACCTATTTCCACTCCCATGTCTCTACGGTCATTCCCATTTACCTTATTTTTATGTAAAATATCTTTTCCTTCTTTACTAATCAAACTAATAACTAAGAGAATTGACAAAAGTTTAACTAAATTGGAATCACAATGGACACATAAGAACAGCAATAGACACTCATAAAGAGAAAAACATCAGTCACATAAGCGATTATTACAATGAAGATGAAGACATACCTAGAAAATTCTCAATAGACACATTTTGAGTTCATAATTAGGGTCTGATAGAATAATTTTTCCATAAACAGTCAGAAAATAAGGAAAAATGGAAAAAGTTTTTCCATAAGATAGATTTAATTTATACAGAAGTTAATTGGAAAAGTTCTCTCCTATTAGTTCTCGAAAACTTTTATTTAAGTTAAGCATACAATAATTTTAACTCGCGAGTTTTTTGTTTTTTATTCAAAAAATCTATTTGGATAAACTTCTTCCTAAACACTACTTGTATGAGAGAAAATAAGAAAATAAAATAAACTTTCCCAAAGTTAATTCAATTTAGGTTACAGCATAAGTTTAAAATAAGTGTTCAGAGAAGTTTAAATTAGCGAGATTCCATAAATTAACCAATGCATAATAGAGTTTTAGTTGTAGAAGAAACTTATTTCATTTTTCCTTCTCCTATAAGATTTTATGGACAAATTTATCCAAACATACCCTTAATTTCTTCTTCTTTTTCTATAAATGTTTCTAGATAAGTTTATTCAAACAGAACTTTTAGTCATGTGACCCTTTAATATTCTAACTAGCACAAAACTGAATTGCAATGTCTCCTTTAAGTTACTTTCGATCGAATTTTAGTATGCTGTGGTTAAAGTAAATGTCCAATTCCATTGCATACCTGGCTGAGGATTGTATCCTCGGCTAATTCGGCGTTGAGCTCCAAGATTTCCCAGTCATCCTCTGTGTTCGGCTCTATGATGACTCTTGAAGCGTGCGGCACATTGAGAGCAGCTCTGACTTGAACATTAGCGTGATTCGGCAAGGAAACGCATTCCGCAAATTGAGGAGAAACCTGCAGAAATTATTTTGGAGGCTTTATTTAGAATTGACACTGAAAGAGAGTGAGTGAGAAAGTGCAAGGGGAGAAGGCTCGTACCTCTATGGCGGAAGAAGCGGAAGTGGCGCCGGACCAAGCGACGAACCAGGTGTGAGGGGGAGAGCGAAGCTCGAGAGCGAGGATTTGAGGAAGTGATGATGAGCGCGTGGACTGAAGAAGTTGAATGAGAGATAGGGGAAGGGATACGAAACAGGAGTCTATGCCTCCCACCACCTTCACCTCTAACTCCATTGAATCGAACGCAATAACGAAACTACCGCAAAATTCCTCACCAAAGCACACATATTCTTATTCACTTTCTCACTCCAGTGCGGCAAAAAAATACGAAGTTTCCTTAGGCTAGATTATTATATTATATTTCTTCTCCGTACGTTTCATTTTAACTTTTAGTTCTTACAAGAAAATCATAAATAATGCACCAAAGTTATATTTAGTTGAGTAATGTTTTGAAGCGATGTAAAATTTATACAAAAACCTTTTTATGATAATAAAATGCTTCAAAGTTTTCTAAAATTAATTAAAACTTAATCTTTTTATATTAAAAAAAAGTTAAACTTAAAATTATAACAATTACAAACACAAATTAAACAATTTATTTTTTTATATATCATTATTTTTCAATGAAAAGTAATGATAAAGGAAAACAATCTTCTTTCAAATATTTAACACAATTAAATTACAATTTCTTTCAAACTCATATTTAACATATTCTTCAAAAACTGAGACTATGATGATATTTTTATTAAAGGGTGAATTGATATCTTTATAGATTTATGATACTGTTACCTAAGATCAGATATCAACCCCTTGATGGATTAGATAAATTTTATTTCAGATTATAAAGTATCATATAAAATATAAATTTATTAATCTAGTTTAACTTATCAGGGATTTAATTAAATATCTGATACAATATAATTCATTTAATAAAAAATCAATATAATTTATTTATTAATAATTCTTTTAATATAAATATCCAATCAATTCATAAAAATAATATTTTATAAAAATCTAACAAAAAATTTAACATTATATTTCAAGAATAAATTATAAGGGTTTTTGAAGATAAAGTAAATTTACATGCATTACAAATGTTTTTACTCAAATAAAATTATTTTCTGGAAAGCATTTGTAACCTTAGATAAAAATAATTATATAATTGTTTATAAAATTTGGTCACGAGGCGTGTCATTTGTATTATTGTAATGAGTAATTTTAATCTTGATATCCCTCTAATTAGTATATTAAAAATATAATAAAATTATGTATAATTAATATTTTAAAATTTAAATTATTCTCATTTATATGTATGAATTATATTCACATGATTATAATGTTTTATGTAATATATATCATAATTCAAAATTAAATAGATAAAGTCACTCATTGGCCTAAATAAATTTAGACAATTTTAAAATATATTTAATCCAATAAATTAAGATTCAATAAAAAACTATAACCTAAATTTAGGTTTATTTTGACTTGATCAATTATTTATATAAATTTAAATTTGGTTAACTAGTAAATTTATGAGCTGATTTATTTAGAAAAATATTTTAAAATAAAAAAATATTATTATTTTATTAATATATATATATATATATATTAATTTAGTTTGATAAATAATTTATTTAGTCAAAATAAAAATAAATCTTTAATATTTATTTACTATAGAACTTATGAATTAAAATAAATTGTTATTAAAATAATAAATGATGAAAATATTAAAAAATAAATTTTTAGTTTTTATTTTAGAGTTAAATAAATCTTTTTTTAATTTATACATTCTATTATTATATCTGAAATAAAAAATAATTTTATTAATATAATTTAAATTCTAAAAATATATTTTTATTTAAATATTTTTAATTAATTATTTTAATATAAATATATTAATAAATATATCAAATTTGTTGAAAATTTCACCTCGTCTATCTCATATCATTTATATTTGATATGATTTATTTACAATTGGTTTTATATTAAAAGCTTAACAAAATCAATTTATTAACTTAATAAAATTATGTTAAACCAAAATTATAATCCATTTAATAATATAAATTAGACTAAATCATTAATTTTTTTTTTTTACTTACCTAGTCTATTTTGCCAGCATTCATCTCTAGTGTAAAAATTAGCCTAATTCACTATCTTTTAAGATCGGCCATTTATTTTACATTTCCAATTTGAATAATCTTATGTTGATATTAAAACCTAGTCATCATTAGGATATGCTATCACCAAAAGGTCTTGTTACTGTTCTATAAATATATATTTTTATGTACATATGCAACAATAAAGTAAAAAAGGCAACTGAGGTTACAGATTGGTTTGGAAAAAGAAATGATGCAAAACCATATTACCAAAAATAATTAAACATTTACTCCCTTTCTATTAGTTATGCCTGTGCTGCATCCATTTTAATACCAGTGTTTTATAATCAACTTATTATTATAAAATAATTATTGTTGGGTTGTTTTTATCATAGAACACCAGAAATATTTTTGAAGCAGAACACCAGAAATAAATCAATAATATCCCTGCCTTTTATCATATATCGCTGATCTTATAGGCCACCATTTTCTCTTTCCATTGCTTCTGGTCCAGATATTTCTCGTAGAAGCTGACTTCCTTGTTTGATTTCACCAACAAGGCAGAAGAGCTCCTAGTTCCATAAGGTCCCCCCTAACCATAAAACGAGTTTTTAGCTTATGCATATAAAAGCAGTTAAACAGATCAAAAAACAAGTGGCATGAATGTGTTGGTTACCGGTGAAAGCTCTGTTTCAACAAATATAGAACTCAAAGGATATTCTCGTTTCGGGGGATGAATTCCAGGTAGCATACACTCTTCATCTTTCACTGTGTTTGTCAGGAGCTTCTCAACCATTTCTTTGATGGGAAAATCACTTTCACCATATTCATCAATAAATTCTTTGAAACTTTGGCGCAGCCGTTCAGCCTGAAAAGGTTGTGCCAAAATTCGGCTGGTGTTACTTGCAAATGCGCTGTCTCTTTCAGAAGAAATCTAAAAAATTTTAGAATCAAACTACAGCAATTCCTTTTTAATTTCATCAAATTAGCATATCTTTTTACCTGTTTACGTCAAAAGCACAAATTTGCATGATTAATACAAATTATATAAAGAAACATCTTTATCTTGCAAAAGAAAAACAAGTCTAAAATAATCTTTAAAAACCATTTTGATGTAGAGATGCTAGATAAGTAATACCTTTTTTTCCTTTAACTTACTTATCAGGGTGAAGTCAAATTGCCTGAGATATAATCCTCAATGTCATTTTCAGTATGAAATATATTATATTGGGAGAAAAATATATATCTTATCTATACAAGTAAAAATAAAATACAGGGGTAAAGTCAATAATTAATTATCATTTTAAAAAAGGTGTACATCAAATGAACCAACCCAAATAGAAACTGAAGAATCTGAAAAAAATAACAGGATTGTTTTGTTACCTTAGGCCAAGGAGCGTCAAGGGATGCATTAGTCAACACGTGAATTCCCGGGGTAACTAGGGCTACAGAAGGATGATTATCTTGGTTTGGTCTATTGAACACATAAACCATGGTGGAGGTGCAAATATCAGCCAACACAAGGTTAAACCCATTATACTGATGTGCCTCTCTCACAACGTGCTCTGCAAACTCCTGGGGACTCTCATTGCTCTGTTGGATTTTACTTACACGTTATGATTAAACCGGTGTAACATCACCGTGCATAACTAACAAAAGAGAAACAAAAAAGAAGCATGACAATAATAATAGTAATCAAAGTGACAAACAGATGGAGTGTAATGAGAGAGCTTACCTGAAGAAAACGAAGGGGCAAGTCCCCTCTAGTTTTGGGGTGTGGAAGGGTCTCAACTTCCCGAAAATTAGTAAGAAACGCGATCCTGCCGGTTCTCGTCGAACCCAACCACGTTCCGCCGCCCAGCGCGTCCCTACCACCCAAAATCGTTTCCCCTCCCCACCATGCCAACGGATGCGTAGGGCTTTCAAGTTTCAACACTCGACCAATCAATAAACCGTGAATTTGTCTCAACTCAAATTAGGTTACGTACTCACCGAGAATAAAACTCGTCCCTGTTGTGTAAGAGAATGAAGGGGTACTTCGGATGAGCTTGCCACATGAACACTGAGATACACATGTTGGCTCCTCCGGTCCCTTTCTTGTTCGCTACTCAGGTCACCCTCTCTCTTCCAATGCTGCAAATTGGGACTTTAAAAAAAAAAAAAAAAAAACTGGGTAAGTAACCAATCTGCCTTCGAAAAAAAAAGCATTTTATTTAATTTTTAGATCAGATTAATGAATTCCTAAATATATAAAAATTAGGATAATTACTTTGTATTTAACCACAGATTATATGTGAATATTGAGATGATTTGAAATGATGGATGGGTGGATCTCTATTAATGACATTCCTAATTTATATGAAGAGACAGTAGAGAAAAGTCATATTCACTAAACTTAATTAGGCTCATCTCTTCCACAATAGGGAAACTGGATTAAAAAAAAAAAGGTAGGTTTTATTGTGTTAATGAGTTTAGTGAGTTAAAATATATTGATTAAAATGAATTTTGATAACTGGATTTAGTTTTAAAACTTTTACATCATGTCTCGGTAATATTAATTGGTGTTTATTTTTATTTAAGTTTTTAATAATTCAAATTCATTTTTATTTATAAGAAAATGAGTTATCCAACTTATGCATTTTTCTTTATATTTTGTTATAAAATTTGATTCTCCTTTAATTTTTCTTTAAAAGTTCTCTCACAGAAGAGGGAGAAAATGTTGTTTTTATGGGTTATGTTTAACTTGAAGTGTTTGTATTTCTATTTTAATAATTTATTTTATAATATATATATATATATATATATATATATATATAATCATATATATTAATAAACATAGGTATGTATATATATTATATTTGTTTTTATAAGATTGAGAATTTTCATTTTCTAATAGATATTCATAGCTTCTCGACTTTTTTTCATAAATAATACTATTTTTAAAAATATTTCCCAAAATAGCACATCTGGAACATTATTTACACAACTAGCACTCTTTACTGTTCACGTATTAAAATAATCGATTATTTTATATTATGATCGATTATTTCGCACAAGATCAACTCTCGCTGAGGAGATCTGTAACAAAGGGGTAATCTCGGGTCAATTTTCGCTCAAACGACGTATATTTTCGCTTGAGCGAGAAGTGATTAAAATATGTGGTGACCCAAGTTGCGTTATGTGGCTAACTGCGTTGGACGTTTAGCCTGTGGTCCATTATCGCTCAAGCGATGAGTTACTTCGCTCGAGCGAGAATTGATTGGGTAACTACATTGGACCGTGGTCAATTCTCGCTCAAGCGAGACATCCATCGCTTGAGCGAAGAAATTTATAATCGATTATAATTTGAACTAATCAATCATAATTTTAAAATAATCGAATATACAAAATTATGATTGATTATTTCTCTCTCGCTCAAGCGAAGAAACCCTTCGCTTGAGCGAGGAGAACTGTAACAAATGGGTAATCTCGGGTCAATTTTCGCTCAAGCGACGGGTACTTTCGCTTGAGCGAGAAGTGATTGAAATATGTGGTGACCCAAGTTGTATTATGTAGCTAACTGTGTTGGACGTTTAGCCTGTGGTCAATTCTCGCTCAAGCGAGGGGTTACTTTGCTCGAGCGAGAATTGATTGGGTAACTGCGTTGGACCGTGGTCAATTCTCGCTCAAGCGAGACATCCATCGCTTGAGCGAAAAAGTTTATAATCAATTATAATTTGAGCTAATCGATCATAATTTTAAAATAATCGAATATACAAAATTATGATCGATTATTTCTCTCTCGCTCAAGCGAAAAAACCTTTCGCTTGAGCAAGGAGACCTGTAACAAATGGGTAATCTTGGGTCAATTCTCGCTCAAACGACGGGTACTTTCGCTTGAGCGAGAAGTGATTGAAATATGTGGTGACCCAAGTTGCATTATGTGGCTAACTGCGTTGGACGTTTAGCCTGTGGTCAATTCTCGCTCAAGCGAGAAACTCATCGCTTAAGCGAGGAAACCTGCAACTATTTACAATGCTGAGTCACCCACCCAAGTCAGAATTCCCATGTCTTTCTGATGCACACAAGTAAGGAATCCAATGCTGAGTCACCCACCCAAGTTAGGATTCCAATCTTGGATTCCCTACATTGGGTTAGACAAAAGCAGAAGAATCCAAACATATTTAAAGAGATGTTGACCCACCCACTTTGCTTGGGTTTTGTGTGCGTCAGAAACCATGTAAGGGAGCATTGGATTCAAACCAATGAACTTCATTATAAATAGACCACTTTCATTCTTTGAAGTTCTCACATTGCACACTCCTAAATCTCTGAAGCTTTTTGCATTATTTCTTCTTCTTACTTTTAGTCTTCTTTGTGTTCCACACTCCTAAAATGGGTGTAGTGTCTACTATTGTCCATTATGATGGTTTCATGAACTCATGTCCCATGGAGGGAGTTACCTTCAATACTGTAACTGCAAAACTTGTTCCTTTAAAGAGAGGAATTTCTCTACAAAGGTTGAAGAAATTGATCCACAAGAAATTAGAGAAAGAACCCCACGAAAATGTAGCAACCATCCATTTTCGCTGCCCAACTAGACTCGGAGTTGGGATCAACAACTTCATTGCTGTTGAGTTGAAAGATGATGACGACGTGGAGGCCATGTTCGATGTTCATGATTCAAACTCAAGTCTATGTGGTATTAAAATTTTTATTTCATTTAAAACTTCTTCTTCTTCATACCCCAACACACACTCACCAGAAATTTCACCCTCACCCTACCAAGTTTTCCCAAACACTGACCCAGAAATACCCACACATAATGACTACATCCCTTTTACCCAACTTCTAAGTGGGTCTTCCACCAACATCAACGAAGAACTACCCACACAAGAGAACGAAATTGTTGGCCTCCCAATTGAAGTCGTTGATCCTTTTAGTGAGGATGAAGACGAAGATGAAATTCTCAGCCAACACCAAGATGATTCAGAGGACGAACAACCACATATCCCTACATATGCACCAAACTTCATGAAACTATACAACCCACCACAACATTTTCTTAACTTTGAAAGTCACATTCAACAACAAGACCCAGAGTATGGTCATGCGTTGGACAGAGAGTCTTTTGTTTCTCCGGCAGGAACTCTATTTCTTGGACAACGTTTCATAACAAAAGAACAAGTTCAAGATGTCATCAACTGCTTTCACATTGTCAATCACTGCAGATACAAGGTGAAAAATTCAAACCAAAGTAGATATGTTGTTGATAACCAATGCAATTGGAGATGTCGAGCAATATTGCGTACAAGAGAGCAATATTAGGAGATTATGAAGCTTGAAGGGCATCATACATGCGTTTTGCCATTAATCAGCCAAGACCACAACAAGTTGGGATATAAAATGATTTCCCAAACAATTGGTCAAATAATTGATGTTGATTCGCCAACACCAATCTCCACAATCATAGCCCACATCCAATTAACAACGGGTTACACTATAACATACAGGAAGGTCTGGTTGGCCAAACAAAAGGCAGTGGAGATCATCTACGGCAATTGGGAGGATTCGTATAAGAAGTTGTCTTGTTTGTTACAAGCCATGCAACAATTTGTTCCCGGATTCATCTACAAACTGCAGTCACAACCAACTTATCAAGATGAAGTCCTTCAACAAAATTCAAATATTTTTAAATGTGTGTTTTGGTCGTTTAGGTCATGCATAGATGAATTTGTTCACTGCAAGCCCATTGTTCAAGTGGACGGAACTTTTTTGTATGGAAAATATAGAGGTAACTTGTTGGTTACAGTAACACAAGATGGCTGCAACAACATCCTCCCCATTGCGTTTGCAGTGGTTGAAGGTGAAACAAGTGATGCCTGGTTTTTTTTCTTAAAAAACCTTCAAAGATATGTCACACCCCAACAAGGATTATGCCTCATATCAGACCGACATGAATCCATTAGAAGTGCATACATGAGAAATGGAAGCGGATGGACAGAAAATAATTCAGTGCATGTCTACTGCATTAGACATATTGCACATAATTTTATGAGACGTTTCAAAAACACCGCACTGAGGAAAGATGTTGTAAATATGAGTAATTTCTTTACTTCAAATTTGTTACAATTTATTCATTATTTAATTGTTGCTAATAAATATTTATATTAACTATGTTTTTTTAATATTGTTGTAGCGTATGGGATGACTGAACCACGATTCTACTATTATTACAACATCTTGAGGCAATGTGACATAAAAGCAGCTAATTGGTTGGATGAGATACCTAGAGAAAAATGGGCACTTGCATGGGACAATGGACGACGTTGGGGCCACATGACGACCAACATAGCAGAGTCTATCAACTCTGTTTTGAAAAAAACAAGAAATCTACCTATTTGCTCCATGGTCAACGCAACGTACACCCGCTGCAACAAATTTTTCATTGAAAGAGGGAGGCAGATAGATGCTATGATCAATGCTGGTCATGTATACTCTGAAATTTTGGTCACAAATTTAGAGGAAGCACAAACACAGGCAAACACGCATAGGGTCGTAACTTTTGACAGGTCTACCACAAAATTTGTAGTAGAAGAAACACAAAACCCGCGTGAAGTTCGACCAGTAGGGAAGTTTACAGTTCGCCTTGATGAGTTATGGTGTGACTGTGGGAAATTCCAAAAATTTCACATGCCTTGTTCACAAGTTCTTGCTGCATGCAAGCATGCACACCATGACTTCAACAACTATATTCATTCAGTGTATACCTTACAACAAGTTTCAAAGGTATACGGAACACAATTTGGGTTATTGCGAAATGAAGAATATTGGCCAACATACACAGGACCTACTTTGTGTGCAAATCCAGAAATGAAAAGAACTTCAAAGGGCCGACCAAAATCAAGTCGTATAAGAACTAAGATGGACATTACAGAAAATCAAAGTAGGATTAAAAAATGTTCATATTGTCATACCCCTGGTCATAGTAGAAGAACATGTCCCAATGTTGCACGTGCATCTACTTCGCATCATTAGATTGTGTTAATTAAGAAATGTCTCAATGTATGAAACTTATGAGTTTTTCAATTAATTG